CGACGCCATTGTTGTTGTCAGTTTACAGTTACAAATCACGTCTCTTGTACTGTTTTCTCTTGCCCATCATTGTTCTATTCTCCATCATGTTTGCGAATGTAGCAAGCGCGTTTCACCAAGGTATATTATCTGTATTTTTTATGTTCTGGTTTGATTGATTTAAGATTTCTTTTGCATTGTATTTCCCTTGGTATGAACTGAAGTTTTGTTGATGGGGCCATTCTCGACCTGAGTACCATCGATATGTACGGTTACAAATACATCATATTAGTGTGGTCTTTGGTTACCCCACGGCCATATAATTCCAAATTTGATAACGTTGGGCCCCTAATTTTTTATCTCGTTGCTTTTGTTAACTTGATTCACTCACAGATTTGTCAACAGAAGGCCACAAAAACAAGGCTCAAATTCTAAACCACTGGATGCCTATGGGTTAATACTCCCCACGATTGCGTGAAACAATAAACGTATTTTATGTCTGTGATTTTATTTTGTCTGTCAGTTGATCATTTGTGTGCCCATGTATACATATTTATGTTCCTTGCTATCACAGCACGGGATGAGGTGAACCGCATGCAGAGGCACAGCCTGGCTCTCTCCCACCCTGACACTCCAGTCCCCCTTCCAGTAGGTCATCATGTTTAGTGTTGTCAGGGAGTTGCTTGACTCTGATGTTTTCTCTGACCAAATGCCTCGTCAGTTTCTGATACATTTCAACAAGAAGGACAGTGACATGTTTCGAGTTTTATTCTTGAGCATCATGCTATGGTCACCGTCTTTATGTATCCAATGGGTGCTTTTACAGAACGTTTTCCTCCACTGTTTGACCCTGTTCCTTTACCCCACTCTTAGCCATAATGCTAAAGCTAACTCTTATCTTTAACTAATAGGGGGCACGGGTGGGCCAGTCGTCTAAGGCGCCGCGATTCGCTGTGCAGAGTTGCGTCCCTTGGGCACGCCAGAAACCTATGATTGTGGGTTCGAATCCCGGTTCGCCCCGATTATGTTTCTAGGTTTGTCAGCACCATACCCGTGCTCGTGTGTTTCACCGAAGTGGTAAACGTCTGAGACATGCATCACTCCGGGCTTTCCTCCCACATTAAGCTGACACGCCGTGATATGACTGGAATACTGTTAAAAGCGGTGTTAAACCCAACTCACTCACTTTTACTAATGCCATTTTCAAAACGCTAGACAAAATTATGGTCAATCATATCAAAGAGCTATTCATGCATGCTTTCAATTTCATTCTTTCTCAGCACATGTTCTTTCTCCGATCTAGATACCATTAATGCACTTAACTTTTCTCCGAAACAACCACTTTTCAACTTTTCTCTTTCCACCATAGGACCCCACCCATCGATTCAACTCCCATCCGCTAGCAGCCCCACCCGTCACCCTAACTTCTGTTTCCGACCCATCCCTCCAGTCCTCAGCTGTGTCCCTGGTCTCTACCGAGTGTGTTGCCATTGATCTGGGTGATCCAGTACACTCCCTCAGGCTGCCTTCAGTGAGCAAACCAGTAGAAATACCATCTCCATGTCAAGACATTGATCTAGGCGATCCCACAACATCCCAGTATCCATATATTCCAGTAGAATCACCACTGCCCTGCATTGTGATTGACATTAGCGACATTGAGCTGGAGGATACACAGCAAACCCAGTCATTCGTCGGATCATGCCTCTACTCGGTTCTTAATTTCGTAAAAGGATTATTTTCTTTCTTATAATAACAAATTTAACATCTAAGACTTTTTCGGATATTTTTAAGATATGATTTATTAAACTTTTGTCCAGTTGTCCCTATGTGATTATTTGATTATGTTTGTTTTGTGTTTTCATTTGGGTTTTTTATAAACTGTTTGTTTCTGTTCACTCTTCCTTTGTCTTTTTTTATTTTTGTAATTACAACACCTTCCTAATAAAGTAACTGTAACTTGAAATATACATTACGTACCATTTTACCATAACAACCACTGTGACACCAATTATTCAAACACGTAATACACAAAAATCCTTGATTCGAAGCATCAACACGGCCCCCAAACCCCCTCTGTGGGATATCGGCACCTAAACTTAAGAGAGACGGAGAAAGAGCGGAATAAAAAATATAATATGGCACATTAAATCATTTACATGACAACATGTATCTTCACGCTGTCGAAAGAATTAAATGATCTACCTGGACGAATGCCGGTACATTTTGAAACAACAATGTCAACATTTCAAAATAACATAGGAAAATTAAAGATACTACACATGTACTTCTTCCTATAACAAAACCAGCGGGAGTTTCGGGTAAGAATAGAGGTCCACAGCAACCTATGTTTGCCGTAACCGGCGACTAAATACATGGTAGGTCAGGTGACTTGGTTTATTGCTTGCCATGGTATTGATGCTCATGATGTCAGTCAATGTTTTGGCCCAGTTTCAATTGTTTACAAACTATCGTCATATAACTATATGACGTTTTGTTTGTTTGTTAAACAACAAACAAACAAACTGCCGTCATATAACTGGACTATTACCGAGTGCGGCGTTAAACAGAATTCCCTTACAATATTTCAGGGGGCGGTCGGGTGGCCTAGTGGTTAAAGCGTTCGCTCGTCACGCCGAAGACCCGGGTTCGAATCCCGACATGGGTACAATGTGTGAAGCCCATTTCTGGTGTCCCCCGCCGTGATATTGCTGGACTATTGCTAAAAGCGGCGTAAAGCCAAAGTCACTCACTCACTCACTACAATATTTCAGGAAGGTTAACTCTACCCATTATTTCTTCAGTAGTCAAAGAAGTGGGCGTAAAATATCCTTAGGCATTTTCGTACTCTTGGAGCGAAATATGAACTGGGTAGAATTCACGGCGTCTTTATAAAAATGCTTGATATTGTTTACAAATAGACTCCATATGACGTTAATCCCTAAAAATAGAAACACACTTTAAATAGAAAGTCAAAGCATGTATTTCCCATTTAATTATCCATAATTGCCATTGTCCAAAATAATCGACTCAAGACTAGACGCTGAAGATGGCGAAGGAATGAATCTTAAGGTAAGGGGCTGATATGCATCTGAAGACTGAAACACTGGAGAAAGAGGAGTATGTGCAATTCACTGTTGACCCCAGTCTCAACAATTGAAAACCCTCCAGCCCTTTTCGAGATGCGAGATTTTAGCAGTCATGCTTTAGTGCACATCTGCTCTTAAAGAAGAAAGACATCCTTTAATATTCCTTGTCAGCTACACTATTGATAAAGCAGCGCCAGACCTAACTCACTCACTCACTCACTCACACAAAATATACGCGAGAGCAGTTTTTGCACTATCTCACACAAAGGGCCGCCTAGACTGGGTTTCAGACTTGCACTGTCACATTTGCAGCCACGGTCTTCAGGGTAGCGAGCAAACGATTTAGCTGCCGGGTCACTGCTTCCGCTGAGACCGCGTACAACAATGTATATTTACACCCTGTGAACGTGGTATGCACACACATGTTAATATCCAATCTGCATTGTACCATGGGCCTTGATGCCCAAATTACTGAATAAACTGTCTGTCTGTGATACACACACTGAACAAAATAATTTCTATAATTCGCTAAGGGACACCGTTGGCTTCACACATTGAACGACCCGCTGGGGATTCCGGGTTCGAGTAGGTCCCCAGCAACCTATGCTTAACCTGAGAGGTGACTTAATATTGTTCGGGTGGTGGAGTTTGGGGACTTGGTTGATTGAGCGTCATCGTAACCAGACGACGTTGATCCTTGCTCATGATGTCAATCCCTTAATGGCGTCAGTGTATTTGCTGACAGTGGGTTCGAATCCTGGATTCTCTGTAACTATTGCCCTTGGTTTGACTGGATCATACGGTGCTTGTGGGCTTCACCAGGTGATAGACATCTACGGTCTGAGTCCCTTTAGTAATTCCTCATTAGGATGACACGCCTGTGACCAAACAACTAACGTGATAAACCCTACTCAACTATACAGGATTTCATAAAACAGACTTTGGTCAAATGTGTACGCTATTTATTTCAACTTAACCTGAGTTACAAAGAGCGTTTCTTCGTTTTAACGTATATTCGCGTGTTACCTCGGTGAGATATTCATTTGTTTGTTTGACATCAGCATCGATCTACCGGATACGATGACATGCATCAACCAAAGGAGCGAGCCTGACCACCCGATCCCGTTAGTCGCCTTTATTGACAATCTCGGAGGAACTTTCACATGCTCATCATAATGATTAAGGTATACTAACATATAGTCTTTTATAATATTTTATTTCAAATTACATTGCTCTCCTCTAAAATTAAAACAAATATTTTTTCCTAGATGGCTAGACTTGATTTCATATGAAACTAGATTGGTTTTGTTTTAAAAAATTACAACTATTCAACAGCAACAATATTAATGAGCTATTCTAACCTGGATCTTCAAGTCAGTGTTGTGTTTCCTTTCTTCAGCCTTAACCACTGTCCTGCACCAAGATTGGTGAATATATGTATATTTTTTAATACAAAACCAATCTAGATTTATATATAATCAAGTCTTGGTTGATGCATGTCAATGTATCCCAATTGCGTAGATCGATGCTCATGATGCCAATCACTGGATCAATCACAACAATCCTCCGAGATGGCTGAAAACGGAGATGCTGTACGGTGCCAGTCGTTATTCCTGTTGCTGTCCTACACGGAAACTGGGACAACGTTCCCGCCTTTTCCCCTTGACAGATCTTGTCTCTCTTTCATCATTGTCTAGGACAAACATAAACGTTTTTCGTGTAATAATTTACAGGTTTCATTTAACAAATATTCTTATAATAATTTATGTATCTCGTATGTTTGTTTGTTGTTTAACGCCGCACTCAGCAACAATCCGGCGATATGACGGCGCTCTGTAAATAATCGAGTCTGGACCAGACAACCCAGTGATTGACATCATGAGCAATCTATATGTGTGAGACAAAGATAAAGTTTCTTTTAAAATGTTGTTAACGTGTTTCCAACGATTACTCATTCCAATGTGCCCATGTAATTTTCTAAAAACCCATAACAAATATGATTTAATAAATATCTAAAAAGAACATTGAAGTAAGTACTGCACCTTCCTAACCCACGTGCCCAATAACGTGATCTCGTGAGACCGATGTCGCCATGGTGACTGTTTTCAGTTCAAACGACGCCATTGTTGTTGTCAGTTTACAGTTACAAATCACGTCTCTTGTACTGTTTTCTCTTGCCCATCATTGTTCTATTCTCCATCATGTTTGCGAATGTTGCAAGCGCGTTTCACCAAGGTATATTATCTGTATTTTTTATGTTCTGGTTTGATTGATTTAAGATTTCTTTTGCATTGCATTTCCCTTGGTATCAGCGGAAGTTTTGTTGATGGGGCAATTCTCGACCTGAGTACCATCGATATGTACGGTTACAAATACATCATATAAGTGGGGTCTTTGGTTACCTCACGTCCACATCCTTCCAAAACGTTGGGCCCCTAATCTTTTATCTCGTTGCTTTTGTTAACTTGATTCACTCACAGATATGTCAACAGAAGGCCAGAAAAACAAGGCTAAAATTCTGAACACCGAGGTGTCTGTGGGTTAATACTGAGTACTCCCCACGATTGAGTGAAACAATAAACGTATCTTATGTCTGTGATTTTATTTTGTCTGTCAGTTGATCATTTGTGTGCGCATGTATACATATTTTTGTTCCTCGCTATCACAGCTCGGGATGAGTTGAACCGCATGCAGAGACACAGCCTGGCTCTCTCCCACCCTGACACTCCCGTCCCCCTTCCAGTAGGTCATCGTGTTTAGTGTTGTCAGGGAGTTGCTTGACTCTGATGTTTTCTCTGTCCAAATGCCTCGTCAGTTTCTGATACATTTCAACAAGAAGGACAGTGACATGTTTCGGTTTCGAGTTTTATTCTTTAGCATCATACTATGGTCACTGTCGTTATCTATCCAATGTGTGCTTTTACAGAACGTTTTCCTCCTCTGTTTTACCCTGTTAATTTATCCCACTCTTAGCCATAATGCTAAAGCTAACGCTTATCTTTTGCTGATGCCATTTTCAAAACGCTAAACAAAATTATGGTCAATCATATCAAAGAGCTATTCATGCATGCTTTCAATTTCATTCTATCTCAGCACATGTTCTTTCTCGGATCTAGATACCATTAATGCACTTAACTTTGCTCCGAAACAACCACTTTTCACCTTTTCTCTTTCCACCATAGGACCCCACCCATCGATTCAACTCCCATCCGCTAGCAGCCCCACCCGTCACCCTCACTCCTGTTTCCGACCCATCCCTCCAGTCCTCAGCTGTGTCCCTGGTCTCTACCGAGTGTGTTGCCATTGATCTGGGCGATCCAGTACACTCCCTCGGGCTGCCTTCAGTGAGCAAACCAGTAGAAATACCATCTCCATGTCAAGACATTGATCTAGGCGATCCCACAACATCCCAGTATCCATATATTCCAGTAGAATCACCACTGCCCTGCATTGTGATTGACATTAGCGACATTGAGCTGGAGGATACACAGCAAACCCAGTCATTCGTCGGATCATGCTTTTACTCGGTGCTTAATTTCGTAAAAGAATTATTTTCTTTCTTTTAATAACAAATTTAACATCTAAGACTTTTTCGGATATTTTTAAGATATGATTTATTAAACTTTTGTCCAGTTGTCCCTATGTGATTATTTGATTATGTTTGTTTTGTGTTTTCATTTGGGTTTTTTATAAACCGTTTGTTTGTGTTCACTCTTCCTTTGTCTTTTTTTGTGTGTAATTACAACACCTTCCTAATAAAGTAACTGTAACTTGAAATATACATTACCTACCATTTTACCATAACAACCACTGTGACACCAATTATTCAAACACTTAATACACAAAAATCCTTGATTCGAAGCATCAACACGGCCCCCAAACCCCCTCTGTGGGACATCGGCACCTAAACTTAGGAGAGACGGAGAAAGAGCGGAATAAAAAATAAAGTATGGCACATTAAATCATTTACATGACAACATGTATCTTCACGCTGTCGAAAGAATTAAATGTCCTACCTGGACGAATGCCGGTACATTTTGAAACAACAATGTCAACATTTCAAAATAACATAGGAAAATTAAAGATACTACACATGTACTTCTTCCTATAACAAGACCAGCGGGAGTTTCGGGTAAGAATAGAGGTCCACAGCAACCTATGTTTGCCGTAACAGGTGACTAAATACATGGGTGGTCAGGTGACTTGGTTTATTGCTTGCCATGGTATTGATGCTCATGATGTCAGTCAATGTTTTGGCCCAGTTTCAATTGTTTACAAACTATCGTCATATAACTATATGACGTTTTGTTTGTTTGTTAAACAACAAACAAACAAACTACCGTCATATAACTATATGACGTTTTGTTTGTTTGTTAAACAACAAACAAACAAACTACCGTCATATAACTGGACTATTACCGAGTGCGGCGTTAAACAGAATTCCCTTACAATATTTCAGGGGGCGGTCGGGTGGCCTAGTGGTTAAAGCGTTCGCTCGTCACGCCGAAGACCCGGGTTCGAATCCCGACATGGGTACAATGTGTGAAGCCCATTTCTGGTGTCCCCCGCCGTGATATTGCTGACCTATTGCTAAAAGCGGCGTAAAGCCAAACTCACTCACTCACTCACTACAATATTGCAGGAAGGTTAACTCTACCCATTATTTCTTCAGTAGTCAAAGAAGTGGGCGTAAAATATCCTTAGGCATTTTCGTACTCTTGGAGCGAAATATGAACTGGGTAGAATTCACGGCGTCTTTATAAAAATGCTTGATATTGTTTACAAATAGACTCCATATGACTTTAATCCCTAAAAATAGAAACACACTTTAAATAGAAAGTCAAAGCATGTATTTCCCATTTAATTATCCATAATTGCCATTGTCGAAAATAATCGACTCAAGACTAGACGCTGAAGATGGCGAAGGAATGAGTCTTAAGGTAAGGGGCTGATATGCATCTGAAGACTGAAACACTGGAGAAAGAGGAGTATGTGCAATTCACTGTTGACCCCAGTCTCAACAATTGAAAACCCTCCAGCCCTTTTCGAGATGCGAGATTTTAGCAGTCATGCTTTAGTGCACATCTGCTCTTAAAGAAGAAAGACATCCTTTAATATTCCTTGTCAGCTACACTATTGATAAAGCAGCGCCAGACCTAACTCACTCACTCACTCACACAAAATATACGCGAGAGCAGTTTTTGCACTATCTCACAGAAAGGGCCGCCTAGACTGGGTTTCAGACTTGCACTGTCACATTTGCAGCCACGGTCTTCAGAGTAGCGAGCAAACGATTTAGCTGCCGGGTCACTGCTCCCGCTGAGACCCGCGTACAACTATATATATTTACACCTTATGAACATGGGACACACACACACACACACACACACACACATACACACACACACACATGTTAATATCCAATCTGCATTGTACTTTGGGCCTTGCTGCCTAAATTACTGAATTAACTGTCTGTCTGTCATATACACACTGAAAAAAATAACTTCTACATTTCGCTAAGGGACACCATTGGCTTCACACACTGAACGACCCGCTGGGGATTCCGGGTTCCAGTAGGTCCCCAGCAACCTATGCTTAACCTGAGAGGCGACTTAATATTGTTCGGGTGGTGGGGTTTGGGGAATTGGTTGATTGAGCGTCATCGTAACCAGACGACGTTGATCGTTGCTCATGATGTCAATCCCTTAATGGCGTCAGTGTATTTGCTGACAGTGGGTTCGAATCCGGGATTCTCTGTAACTATGGCCCTTGGTTTGACTGGACCATACGGTGCTTGTGGGCTTCACCAGGGTGACAGACATCTACGGTCTGAGTCCCTTTAGTAATTCCTCATTAGGATGACACGCCTGTGACCAAACAACTAAAGTGATAAACCCTACTCAACTATACAGGATTTCATAAAACAGACTTTGGTCAAATGTGTAGGCTACTAATTACAACCTAACCTGAGTTACAAAGAGCGTTTCTTCGTTTTAACGTTTATTCACGTGTTACATGGACGAGGTATTTATTTGTTTGTATACGATGACATGCGTTAAATAAGTCAGCGAGCCTGACCACCCGATCGCGTTAGTCGCCTCATACGACAAGCATGGGTTGTTAATGACCTATTCTAACCCGGATCTTCTAGTCAGTGTTGTGATTCCTTCTGGAGCCTTAACCATAGTCCTGCACCATGAATGTTGAATATATGTATTTTTTTAAATACAAAACCTATCTATCTATCTATCTATCTATCTATCTATATAAGTCTAGCCAGCTCGGAAAAATTATTTGTTTTAACTTTAGAGGAGAGCAATGTATTTTGTAATAAAAGATTATAATAGACAAAATGTAAGTCTACCGTAACTATTATGATGAGAGATGTGAAAGTTCCTCCGAGATTGTCGTAAGAGGCGACTAACGGGATCGGGTGGTCAGGCTCGCTGACTTGGTTGATGCATGTCAACGTATCCGAATTGCGTAGATCAATGTTCATGATGCCAATCACTGGATCAATCACAACAATCCTCCGAGATTGCTTTGTGGAACGGGCCCCTGGTCCAAGCAAAGCATACTGTGTGTTTTGTCCTGTAGTCTTGACACGTCAAATATTCACGCTATCCTACACGGAAACTGAGTAAACGTTTCCCGCCTTTTCCCCTTGACAGATCTTGTCTCCCTTTGATCATTGTCCAGGACAAACATAAACGTTTTTCGTGTTTCTTTTAACAAATATTCTCATAATAAATTAAGTATCTCGTATGTTTGTTTGTTTGTTGTTTAACGCCGCACTCAGCAATATTCAGGCTATATGACGGCGCTCTGTAAATATTCGAGTCTGGACCAGACAATCCAGTGATTGACATCATGAGCACTATATATGTGTGAGACAAAGATAAAGTTTCTTTTAAAATGTTGTTTACGTCTTTCCAACGATTACTTATGCCAATGTGCCCATGTAATTTTCTAAAAACCCATAACAAATATGATTTAATAAATATCTAAAAAGAACATTGAAGTAAGTACTGCACCTTCCTAACCCATGTGCCCAATAACGTGATCTCGTGAGACCGATGTCGCCATGGTGACTGTTTTCAGTTCAAACGACGCCATTGTTGTTGTCAGTTTACAGTTACAAATCACGTCTCTTGTACTGTTTTCTCTTGCCCATCATTGTTCTATTCTCCATCATGTTTGCGAATGTTGCAAGCGCGTTTCACCAAGGTATATTATCTGTATTTTTTATGTTCTGGTTTGATTGTTTTAAGATTTCTTTTGCATTGCATACCCTTGGTATCAGCGGAAGATTTGTTGATGGGGCCATTCTCGGCCTGAGTACCATCGATATGTACGGTTACAAATACATCATATAAGTGGGGTCTTTGGTTACCTCACGTCCACATCCTTCCAAAACGTTGGGCCCCTAATCTTTTATCTCGTTGCTTTTGTTAACTTGATTCACTCACAGATATGTCAACAAGAGGCCACAAAAACAAGGCTAAAATTCTGAACCCCGAGGTGTCTATGGGTTAATACTGAGTACTCCCCACGATTGAGTGAAACAATAAACGTATCTTATGTCTGTGATTTTATTTTGTCTGTCAGTTGATCATTTGTGTGCGCATGTATACATATTTATGTTCCTCGCTATCACAGCTCGGGATGAGTTGAACCGCATGCAGAGACACAGCCTGGCTCTCTCCCACCCTGACACTCCAGTCCCCCTTCCAGTAGGTCATCATGTTTAGTGTTGTCATGGAGTTGCTTGACTCTGATGTTTTCTCTGTCCAAATGCCTCGTCAGTTTCTGATACATTTCAACAAGAAGGACAGTGACATGTTTCGGTTTCGAGTTTTATTCTTTAGCATCATACTATGGTCACTGTCGTTATCTATCCAATGTGTGCTTTTACAGAACGTTTTCCACCTCTGTTTTACCCTGTTAATTTATCCCACTCTTAGCCATAATGCTAAAGCTTACTCTTATCTTTTACTGATGCCATTTTCAAAACGCTAAACAAAATTATGGTCAATCATATCAAAGAGCTATTCATGCATGCTTTCAATTTCATTCTATCTCAGCACATGTTCTTTCTCCGATCTAGATACCATTAATGCACTTAACTTTGCTCCGAAACAACCACTTTTCACCTTTTCTCTTTCCACCATAGGACCCCACCCATCGATTCAACTCCCATCCGCTAGCAGCCCCACCCGTCACCCTCACTCCTGTTTCCGACCCATCCCTCCAGTCCTCAGCTGTGTCCCTGGTCTCTACCGAGTGTGTTGCCATTGATCTGGGTGATCCAGTACACTCCCTCAGGCTGCCTTCAGTGAGCAAACCAGTAGAAATACCATCTCCATGTCAAGACATTGATCTAGGCGATCCCACAACATCCCAGTATCCATATATTCCAGTAGAATCACCACTGCCCTGCATTGTGATTGACATTAGCGACATTGAGCTGGAGGATACACAGCAAACCCAGTCATTCGTCGGATCATGCTTATACTCGGTGCTTAATTTCGTAAAAGAATTATTTTCTTTCTTTTAATAACAAATTTAACATCTAAGACTTTTTCGGATATTTTTAAGATATGATTTATTAAACTTTTGTCCAGTTATCCCTATGTGTTCATTTGATTATCTTTGTTTTGTGTTTTCATTTGGAGGTTTTATAAACTGTTTGTTTCTGTTCACTCTTCCTTTGTCTTTTTTTTAAATTTTGTAATTACAACACCTTCCTAATGAAGTAACTATAACTTGAAATATACATTACCACCATTTTACCATAACAACCACTGTGACACCAATTATTCAAACACGTAATACACAAAAATCCTCGATTGGAAGCATCAACACGGCCCCCAAACCCCCTCTGTGGGACATCGGCACCTAAACTTTGGAGAGACGGAGAAAGAGCGGAATAAAAAATATAGTATGGCACATTAAATCATTTACATGACAACATGTATCTTCACGCTGTCGAAAGAATTAAATGTCCTACCTGGACGAATGCCGGTACATTTTGAAACAACAATGTCAACATTTCAAAATAACATAGGAAAATTAAAGATACTACACATGTACTTCTTCCTATAACAAAACCAGCGGGAGTTTCGGGTAAGAATAGAGGTCCACAGCAACCTATGTTGCCGTGATAGGTGACTAAATACATGGGTGGTCAGGTGACATGGTTGATTGCTTGCCATGGTATTGATGCTCATGATGTCAGTCGATGTTCTGGCCCAGTTTCCATTGTTGACAAACTATCGTCATATAACTATATGACGTTTTGTTTGTTTGTTAAACAACAAACAAACAAACTACCGTCATATAACTTGACTATTACCGAGTGCGGCGTTAAACAGAATTCCCTTACAAGATTTCAGGGGGCGGTCGGGTAGCCTAGTGGTGCACATCTGCTTTTAAAGAAGAAAGATATTCTTTAATACTTCTTGTCAGCTACACTATTGATAAAGCGGCGCCAGACCTAACTCACTCACTCACACAAAATATACGCGAGAGCAGTTTTTGCACTATCTCACAGAAAGGGCCGCCTAGACTTGGCTTCAGACATTGCACAGTCACATGAGCAACAACGGTCTTCAGAGTAGCGAGCAAACGATTAAGCTGCCGGGTCACTGCTCCCGCTGAGACCCGCGTACAACTATCTATATTTACACCTTGTGAACGTGGGATACACACATAGAAAAAAATAACTTCTACATTTCGCTAAGGGACACCATTGGCTTCACACATTGAACGACCCGCTGGGGATTCCGGGTTGGAGTAGGTCCCCAGCAACCTATGCTTGTCCTGAGAGGCGACTTAATATTGTTCGGGTCATCGTAACCAGACGGCGTTGGTCGTTGCTCATAATGTCAACCACTGGTTTGTCTGGCCAAGACGCAGATGCCGATCCCTGTTAAGTTGCATTCCGAATTTCGCAATGCAGTTTGTTTGTTTGTTGTTTGACACCGCACTCCGCAATGTTCCAGCTATATGACGGCGGTCTGTAAATAATCCAGTGAGTGATATCATGAGCATCGATTGGGATACGATGACATGCATCAACCAAATCACCGAACTTGACCACCCGATCCCGATAGTCGCCTCTTACGACAAGCATGGGTTGCTGAAGACCAATTCTTACACGGATCGACCGCCTCCGTGGTCTAGTGGTAGAGCGTCCGCCCGGAGAGCGGAACGTCCGGGTTCGATCCCCGGCCGCGTCATACCAAAAGACGTTAAAAGATGGTACTGGTTGTTACCCTGTCTGGCTAAAACAAGGACTGGTCGGCTCGGAGTCAGAATACTGTGTCTGAGTGGGGTATTCATGTTAAACTGCGGCATGGTGTCTCCGTGAGCTAGCACTATAAATCGGCATCAGTCCGGACTTGTACAAGCAGCCACACAAACACACACACGTACATGCACGTCGCTATATAAGTGCAATAATCTTGGACGCGACGTTAAACCCAATTTCATCTCACCTCTTACCCGAGCTGATGTGTAGCCAGATACATATATACTCATATCAAATGCTTCTGAAAATAAACAATCGTATGAAAATACTTCCATAACGTTGAATTAACTTGTGTTCAAGAAGGAAACAAACGATGCTTGTACAAACTAATTAGAATCTAAAAATCCATACCGTATTAGCCATATTAAGCGCCGCACGAACAACCTAAAGACCTATCTAAGCGACCCCAACCGAGACTGAAAATTGACAGAATATTTACAGAAAACAGCTGTGTAAAAGGGGAATATTGTTCCCTGGTAACCTGTATCGAAAACGTTTAGTTTCATTGACGTTTGAAATAGGTTTGTTCACTCATTCTCTGACCACAAATTTAATTCGTTGTAAATGGCTTTAACAAGCGGTACCCTTTGTCAATTTTTTTAACCGCCCGGGCTCTTATTACGGCGAATAGGGTAACCTCAGCTCATGGGACTGACCATCCTTAATACATTCGTGACCAACTCGTGTTATTCCGGGACAAGCCGAATAGCGACTTCTTCTTGCAGGTTACGGAAAGGGGCGAGTGGTGACGAATGCCCTTAATAAAGCGCTCGTAAAATCTGAGAACTGGCACAGTTTTTATTTTATGATTGATTCATGTGTAGAAGTTTTACATTCAATAACTTAAAAAAATATTTGTCAGCGTTACTGTAACTTTAATAAAATCTCAACAGGCGTTTTATAGATGTTTACTCGGTACGTCCAGATAAAATATCTATTTACTGTGCTCGATATCAGATGTCGAGTAATTTATCAAATAGCGTTCATTGTGTGTGACAACGCGAAGCAACGACGGAGATAAAGCCTTTTAGGTTTTTAAAAAAACAAAACAGGAAGACTTGATCGATTAGGAATTGATATCTTGCTGTAAGTCTGAAACTTACGATCACAATCGAAAATGGAGCGCATTTTAACGTAAGCAAGGGAGAATATCACCATTTACAAATACTTTGTCTTGGTTTTTTAACGACAGTCAGCAATAATCCGGCTACATATCACGGTGGTCTGTGAATAATCAAATCGTGACCAGTATAAGTGGTTATGAGCACGCCGAGACTGTCGGGGTATGATGACATGCAATCAGGCCATCCGTTCAGTTTTGACTTTGGGTACAAGGGACCTAGATATTATATATTCCGGAACCACAACGGGATGTAAAATAATAGGTGGCGCCCATAAACACGTTATTGTCCTGACCAAAGTTCATAACTGGCGAACCCTCTGGCACGTGGAGGATGTGATGAGCAAGATCAGGATCCTTCGGGTTTTTGTTGTTTTTTTGTTTGTTTTTGTTGTTGTTTTTGTGTTTTTGTTGTTTTTGATTGTTGTTTTTATTTATTTATTTTTTTGTTTGTTTTTTTGTTTGTTTGGTGTTGTTTTGTTTGGTTTTGTTTTTTTGGGGTGGGGGGGTGGGGGGGTGGGGGGGGGGGGGAGGGGGGGGGAGGAGGAGGTACTGCGGTCTGTTGATAATCGAGTCTGGACCAGGCAAATCGATCTAGGCAATTGGAATACGATAACATGCATCTACCAAGTTAGACTAACATTTAGTCTCTGAATTGAACATATCGTACATAAAAAAACAGTTGTTCAGTTATCTTAATAAAAATATAATAAAAAGGAGCCCAGTGACTCTCTTCATTTTCAGATACTGCAGTGATCTAGACTTGCCAAACATTATAGACTTGCATGGGCTATTTTTGATATATATTTGTATCAAGGTCTGTAAGACAGACTACTACCAAGTCAGCTACCCGATCCCGTTAGTCGCCTCTTACGACAAGCATGGGCTGCTGAAGACCAGCTGTGACCCGGACATCCATGCGTCTGGGAAATGGTAGAGTGGTTGTGTGGGTGTATGTGGGGGCGGGGGTATTATAAGAAGTAACTCTAAACTTTCTCAAACTGAATGAAATGAGACAACAAAACACTCTATAATATTTCAGTAACATGCAAGACCTGACATTTATTATTTTCACAAGTACGATTATTAAACAACATAATATGACAAACATGGCATCCTTATTGAGAACGACTATTGGACACGTGTTGACCAGAGAACAGTGCCGTTTGGATTAACGGGGTTTCATTATATACAGGTAAGCCTTTCTCATTATTCGTGTGATTAGATAATACACACATATACATGATGGATTATACTCGTCATATAGAAAAAAAACAAAAAACAACAACATCGTGATATACTAGCATATGTCACCTGATCCGATATGAGTAGGCCAAGGGAATATTGATTCAAACATTAGGCATGTACAACGCTACATTATATTAGTCATTAAAAATAACACTTGGTTATGAAAAAGTCATACGAAGGCACATCGGCAAATTAAGGAAACTTGAGAAAGCGTTTTCAAATTATATTATAGATTGTTCTGAATATGGGCATATATATTACGTCATATTGATACTCGCACCTGCCATATTGTAAATTACGCACGTATCTCATTAAACAAAGGTATTTTAATTTTATAGACTCAATGAAAGCGTGATAAGTTGGCATTTCGCTTCACGGTGAATCATGACGTGATTTCGCTACTCGGTTACTGCACTGATAAGATAAATTACGCGTAATACGATAGGCGAGTCGACTGTCTAGAGCCATTCAAAATTGTAATAGCGCTGTTGCAGAGTTATTTCGATAAGAATTTCAATGATACAAAGTTACATTCAATATATACAAATCCCACTGTCACTGACGTACATTGTTGTTGAATAAACGTCACACTTCATAATTTGCATGACACATGAGGCGGCCCGGTGCATGCCCTGAATGATTGCCCAAGCACTTCAATGTGCCACTGCGCATGTCCGGAAATGACTGATCAGCCCTCTGAGAAACAGTTAACCACGAAGATGCAAAGAAAAGTGGTTAAATAACTTGATTAAGCAGGTTTTGGGCTTGCTGATTGCCAAAATGTCAGCGGATATTCTACGTAGGAACCCTCAGGATGACTTTGAACTTATCCAGAGAGTCGGAAGCGGAACATACGGGGATGTATATAAGGTTGTATGGCAAACTTGACATGAATATTTGACACAAATATTGAATAATTTCCTCCTGTTTCCCCCATGTAAACATGGTCTTTTAACTTGATGTTATGTCGAAAATAGGCGTGTGTATGGCAAGTGTTATGCCCGGTAATACGTGTATCCTTTTTTCTAACAAATATGTCGGAAATGTATAATACTCCTTTCATTGGAGCAGACGAGAGCATCCACAAAGGTAAGACTAAGAACTCCATCCGAAATGTCACAACTGTCAGTGGTATTTCATTTACCTGAGTTAAACTTTGGATTTGTTTTTCATTACTATGTCAGAATAAGGAGTATCGCTTATAGTCTTTTGGGGGATTGGGTAGGCTGGCTGTTTTGAAACTGTTATCTCAGCAAATTCTCAAGGCTGACAGGCCGTCAGGTGTTTATGTATGTAACAGAACGTTTCGGTGGATTGTCAACAACAGTCAATTTGAAATCATATAAATTTTTCAAATATTTGTCATTTCATTCAGAAACTGTCAAGAAATTTTGAACAATTAACCTTGCCAAAGTAACATGGACATGATGGAACAGTGACAAATATATTTATGATATTTTGATGAATAGTCATATTAAACTCTCAGAACCTGTATACATGGTTTAGTTTCCTGTTACCAAGTAAATATTTAAGACTACAAAGGAAACGATTGTTCTATTTGAACTCATAAAGACAAATATTACTATTAGTACTGTTTAGGAATAACAGTGGAAGGTATTTGTTATTGAATACAATACAACACAATGAGCACACATGCTAAAGTGTTGGTACATTGATATCATGATTTATAGTCATGATAGTAAAACAAATGTTATTGTGTTTTTCTGAAAAAGTTATTTGTTGTTAATGTATGGTACAAATTAGCAGTTGGTAAGTATTATCATGATAATAAATAGTAATTACATGATTAGCACACCATTAGGTTAGGTATGGGTTGTAATGGGGAGTGCCTGTTTCGCTTCATAATTGTTCTCCCCATGGGTCGTTGGAACATTTACGAAACAAATGAGCGTGAAATCCTTTTGTTCCCACCATCATCATGTTATTCATTCATGGAAAAACGTGTGTGGAATTCTGTAAGATTTCTATACTGTTACATCACTATTTATAAGTTTACACAAAAGTCAAGGGTTTCTTGTCATAACCCTAATGTTATAATGTTAAAATTGAAGAAAAATTTAGGGGGTATCAATTTAGATCCAATGCTATGGCAGCAAACCTCACAGACACCCACCCACCCCCCCCCCCCCCCCCCCCCACCCCAGACAACCCCCCTACCCTTCCTCCTTAATTTCGAACACATTCCATGTGTATCCAGATGCTAGTACTCTGTTACTCATGAACAATCCTCACATAACACTGAGTCATGTTGTGATCACTCATGCATGTTAACGTTATTGTTATGTATACAATCTGATTTCAGTGAAGATTGATTACATAAACATTGGTAATGTGTACATGTTGTAGGTGTAATATTATACTAATAGCTAATGTACGGGGGTTTTTTATTCATTGACAATGGTAAGATTTTGTTTCTTTTTTCTTTAACATGTTGAAACAAAATGTAAATGTAACAAGAAAAAAAACATTATTTAGATGATTTCCAAATGCTAAGCAGAAATGGATTTTTTCCCTGATCAGTTATATGACTTTTGTTCAGCTTTTTATCAGCATCATCGATGACTATCAAACCCTTTGTGTAAACAGAGTCTTGCTTCTTATTGTTAGCATGGTTCATAACCATGGCAACAACGGTTGGTTTGGTTTGTTGTTTTAAGCCCCACTCAGCAATATTCCAGCTATATGACTGCGGTCTGTAAATAATCGAGTCTGGACCAGACAATCCAGTGATTGATATCATGAGCATGGATCTACGCAATTGGGATCGATGACATGCATCAACCAAGTCAGCGAGTCTGACTACCCGATCCCGTTAGTCGCCTTTTACGACAAGCATAGTCGCCTTTTATGGCAAGCATGGGTTGCTGAAGACCTATTGAATAATAATAATAATAATAATAATATTAAAGCTGATGAAGATGATGATGTAGGCTACTAGGTAATCACAAACAACACTAGTGAATGTCTGATGATATTGATGTAAAATGCAGGTACTGACATCTTTGTCACATGTATCAAACATGATATTATCATGGTAATATATATTATAATCTGAGAAGTAACATTTGGTTGTAAACTTCCTTCTTTTCACCATGGATACCAAGGGCTCCAGATTAAGGCTGTATTGGTGAATGTACAGATGAAAATATGCACGATATGGTGGGGGATAATTTAGAAAACGTATCGGATACCCATAACAGCATCCATGTAGGGTCTAACATTCATTTATAGACGTTATCCCTAAATACCATGTCAACAAATCCGTACTGAAGTTCTCAAATTAATCATGTAATTACACTGCCTGGTTACAAAAAGTGTTCATTGTATATCTGGACTTATGCTTGTAACCTATTTTAATAATTTAATTTGATGTTGTTTACATTATTTTTTGCAAAATCGTGCGTGAATTGATCGGTAGATCACACAACTCACTGGATTTACAGCCACCATGGTCAGATAACCGTCATTTACGCCTTGAAACAGACTAGTTGACATGGATACATATATCATAAATGCCATATTTTGACTTGGGAGCTTAGTGGTGTTCCATATATAAAAAAATATCCGGCAATAGCGATCAATACTACCAAAGTTAGTGCCACACTTATAGTTATTATTATTTTAAATATATATAGTAAAGCTGCAACTAAAATAACACGAGATTGGAATATATTATTCTTGATAAAATAGTAGATTCAGGTACAATTCTTCACTACATCAAAATTTTTAGTCTTATAGTTATTGGGTAATTTTTAACCGAATTACCGGTAGATTCTGAGAAAACGTGTAAAGTTGATTTCTGTTTCCGGCTTAGTTTACCAGAAAATACCACACGATAATCTTAATCTCTGCTTATAAAACAATATCTAGTAGATCTGGAAATACAATTTAAATGGTAAATCATCTGATCATGTCTAGTGATGTTTTATTTGAAATTTCAAGTTTGTTTTCACTAAGTTTGTTATCAACTGTTCGTTTACCTTAATGTGCTGAAGGGATATGATGTAAAAGATTTCTGATCATAATACTCAATATTGTTTCCCGAAAAAAGTACTGAATATCCTAGAGGGGGTGCGCATTATACCATAGACATACATGTTCAACAAAAAAGGTATTATTTTTTGTTTATTGACGTTTTTACACTAGAGTAGCACTGCGCTGGTGCATATACAAGATTAATCCATTAAGTTCCATTCAGTACTCTAAGTGTACTCTTTAGTTTTGCCAGTATATTCCTATATTAAAATAATAAGGAGTACATACTCCTGATTCTGACAAATTATATGGTGCCCAGGCTATCTACTATTAAATATTGAATCATACACATAATAAATTGATGATGTGATATTAGGTTGCTAATACAATGCATTATTTAATCTGGAATTATTCAAGTGTAGTTCAGCAAGTAGGTGTAACTTGTAAAGCCCACTTTTGGTGACCCATTGTAAACTTGCTGCCATGAAATTATGAAACCATCTAAACTCTCTCCATGCCCACAATTTCTTAATCACAAAGACCACTGAGTGTACAATGCTTGGTATTTGGTGTAATATCTATACCGTATTCGACGTAATAAGCGCCCACGGCGATATTTGCTAATATATTGGCAAGTGAACAATCCCAATTAGCATCCCTTCCGATTGATCAATGTAGACAAGACTTATTTATTCGTGTATAATACGCACTCGTGTGTTATATCCACCCTTAATTATGGGCAATTAAATTCTGGAAAAATATATCTGTGGTATATAAACAGTTCAGGCTGTCAGCATAATCCACAAAATTTATCTTTCAACTCTGTCCACCAAAATAATATTCTTATAAGAGCCCCCCATTTCTAATTTTGAGAGTGCCCTGGGCGCTTATTACGTCGAATACGGTATGTGTGTGTCTGGTCAGCCACCTACCTACCCACCCTATTTTTAGAATTGATGGGCTGAAATAGGAAACACATGCATTCTTGGTGGTGATGGGGAGCTTAGTTAATTCTGCGTGTCATTTCAGTATTCTCTTTTCTGTTTATGCTGTCACTAGGCCAAGAGTCTGGACACAGGATCGCTTGCCGCCATGAAAGTCATCAAGCTGGAGCCAGGTAATGTCAGGAATAAATGGTCAGCACTTGTAAACATTTTCTGTGTTGACAATTGTCATTATGACAAAGCTGTGTCTTAGTTCATATTCAAGGTAGCATATGCTTAGCTCAGCATGCTATGAATCAAAGCACATATTTTATCCCAGTTTTGTTTAGCTGTGAGTGAGTAAGTTGGGTTTAACATCACTTTTAACAGTATTCAATTTATATCGCGGCGTGTCAGCTTAATGTGGGAGGAAAGCCCGAAGTAATGCAGGTCTCAGACATTTACCGCTTCGGTGAACCCCTCGAGCACGGGTATGGTGCTGACAAACCTAGAAACATAATCGGGGGGAACCGGGATTCGAACCCATAATCATAGGTTTCTGGCGTGCCCAAGGGACGCAACTCTGCATAGCGAACAGCCTTAGACAACTGGGCCACCTGTGCCCCCAGTTGTGTTTAGCATATCTATGGATGTTAGATTATGTGGATACTGTGAAACCTTCAAAGTCCAGAACCTGTTATTGTTGTGTCAATCTGGACACCTCCCCTCCGGACGGCTACTGCAGGGAAACACTATCATGTATACAAAGTGACAGTACACATTATTATGATTGTTTTACTCTGTTATGATAAATCGTTAATCACAAATTTTGTTATCCAGAATTTTTTATCAAGATGATTTCAGGGAAAATGCTACCCTCCGAATTCAACTGATTGACAAGGTTTCACAGTGTCATTGTGTCATGATTGTTTAAGCCAGTGAAAGTTTATGGAGTTGACAACTTGCATCATCTTCTCACATGTATAGCACTTATAATCATTTAAAGGTAGAGGGGTCACGGGTCAGGTGTGGTAGTTGTTGCATCCCTTGGGCATGTTGGGCACTGCAGAAATCTATGATTGTGGGTTCAAATTCTGTTTTCCCCAAATTATCAGGTTTCAACTTTGTCACCATACCCGTGCTCATGGGTTTCTCCAAAGTGGTAAACATCTGAGATCTGCATCTCTTCGGGTTTTCTTCGCTCATTGAGCTGACACGTCGTGATATAACTTATTTATAAGTGGATTACTATAAAAAAAAACAGTGTTAAACTCAACTCATTTACTCACTCCCTCACTTTCAAAATAGTATACAGCATGAATTTTATTAAATGATGTCAGTGTAGAATATGATTGGTTTGGTTGGTTTGTTGTTTAATGCCACACTCAGCAATATTCCAGCTATATGACGGCGGTCTGTAAATAATCAGTCTGGACCAGACAATCCAGTGATTAATATCATGAGCACCGATCCACGCATTTGGGATACAATGACATGCATCAACCAGGTCAGCGAGCCTGACGACCCGATCCTGTTAGTCGCCTCTTACGACAAGCGTTGTCGCCTTATTTCATAACTGTCACGTGTAGCAATGATAAACCACCAGTATATTTTGTGTTACAACTGGTGACATACAAAACTAGGGATCCAGAGGACCTCCAATAAATAATTTCAAGGGCCCCTACAGGAAATATGAGGGTCCTCGAAAGTAATGAAATAGTGTAGAGTAGCTTGGTGTGGTGTTAGTGTTGTGTGTAGTGTAGTATAGTGGGTAGTGTAGTGTGGTGTAGTGTAGTGTAGTGGGTAGTGTAGTGTAGTATAGTGTGTAGTGTAGTGTAGTGTAGTGGTTAGTGTAGTATTGTGGGTAGTGTAGTGTGGTGTAGTGTTGTGGGTAGTGTAGTGTAGTGTAGTGGGTAGTGTATTGTAGTGTAGTGGGTAGTGTAGTATAGTGGGTAGTGTAGTATAGTGGGTAGTGGTGTAGTGGGTAGTGTATTGTAGTGTAGTGGGTAGTGTAGTATAGTGGGTAGTGTAGTGTGGTGGGTAGTGTAGTGTGGTGTGGTGTAGTGTAGTGGGTAGTGTAGTGTAGTGTGGGTAGTGTAGTATAGTGGGTAGTGTAGTGTGGTGGGTAGTGTAGTGTAGTGGGTAGTGTAGTGTTTGCTTGTGTTAATTCATCCATCATAAACAATTATTAACATAACACACTAAGCCAGTTTTTCCTTGATAATAATGTTCATGAACAAGGGAATGTTGGCATGGTTGTGGAATGTGTTAAATGTATGTCTTGATTTTTTTTGTAGGTGATGATTTTGCCATCATTCAACAGGAGATAATCATGATGAAAGACTGCAAGCATCCCAATATAGTGGCTTACTATGGCAGTTACATCAGGTAAGCAGAAAACAGGAGTTGCTTCCCTTAGCCATGCCCGGATCCACTGACAGTGGGAAATCCAAGATTCCTGTAGATTATGATCCTTGGTTTGTCAACGCCACTCCAATGGGCTTGTCTCACATAATCAGTGATTTAGTTGACATTGATGTTTGTACCAGTAAACAGTAAAGTCAGTGAACATTAACATAGTGAACTTGGTAAAGTCAGGCCAGTAGACACAGTGAACATGGTAAAGCCAAGACGGTAAATATGATAAACACAGTAAACATGATAAATCATGCCTTTAAAGGTGATAAACAGTAAACATGGTAAAGTCCGGCTGATAATAGATTAATTATTATTTCTCTTATTAAAATTTTTCATAACATTTCGTGTCCGTACTCATGTTGTTTTTAATTGCAGGAGAGAGAAATTGTGGATTGCAATGGAATATTGTGGAGGAGGGTCCATGCAGGATATCTACCATGGTGAGTGCCAGAATATAGCACACTGCCACACTTAACAAGCTTATTGATCACATCATTCATCAGGATTTAATAGCAATATGTATTCGATCTATCCTGAATTGTCTGAGGACATAATAGTTTGTGTAACCATGAAATCTCATTACTGCTAAGGTTGTGAGATATAAAAAATTCACAGATGCAAAAATGTTGGTTGGAACTAAATACATTAACAAACGTTTGGGTCATAGCCAGTTCTGATTCTGCTGGAATGGAAATCAACCATTGTTTAAGTGGAGAGCGCTGTTTGGTTGTAATTACTGATTCTATGGGTCCCCTGGTGTTCTATCTGGGGTTGTTGTATTTAAAGCTGCAGGGGGCCTATTCTCTGCCTCGGTCTGACAATAATTGAGGTTTAAACTGTTAAGATAAATTAACTTCCTGGTGTTCTAAAGAACAAAAACACATGACTAATCTCATTTTTTGATTTACCTGATCTGATTAAAGTTTATTTTTGTCCACGATGGGATTGCATTACGTGAATGAAACTGTGTTCACAGTTGTGTTTCCAGGAACTTTTCACAAATGAATTGTATTATAAATCTTGCGATGACACTTCGTTCTTAAATTAACTTTTGAATGCTGGGGATACATGATTTCTAATATTTACAATGGAATCTGACATGTATTTACTGTAACCCTCCCCGTGAAGATCCGGGGTAGAATAGGTCTTCAGCAACCCATTCTTGTAAAAGGCGACTATGCTTGTCGTAAGCGGCGACTAACGGGATCGGGTTGTCAGGCTGACTTGGTTGAAGCATGTCATCGTTCTCAATTGCCTAGATCGATAGTGATGTCACTGGATTGTCTGGTCCAGACTTGATAATTTACAGACCGCCATCATATAGCTGGAATATTGCTGAGTGGGACGTAAAACAAACCAAACCAAAAATACTGTAACCCATGAAGATTCTGGGTAGGAATGTAGGTCCCCAGCATCAGTTGTTTTGAAAACAGTGGCTAGTGAAGTGAAAAACACACACTGTTATCAGGGTAATGTGCATTCTTAGTCCCCTGTTCTGAAAAATGCCTGAATTACACACAAACCTTCAGATTCACTGGAACATACTCCTAAGAAAATATTAGATTCCTGACAATGTTTTAGATTCCCTGGAACATCGTGGATTTCTAAAAACATATTGGATTCCTGACAATATTTTAGATTTCTAAAATCATATTGGATTCCTGACAATATTTTAGATTCCCTGGAACATCGTGGATTTCTAAAAACATATTGGATTCCTGACAATATTTTAGATTTCCTGGAACATCGTGGATTTCTAAGAACATATTGGATTCCTGACAATATTTTATATTCCCTGGAACATCGTGGATTTCTAAAAACATATTGGATTCCTGACAATATTTTAGATTTCTAAAAACATATTGGATTCCTGACAATATTTTAGATCCCTGGAACATAGTGGATTCCTAAGAACATATTGGATTCCTGACAATAGTTTAGATTTCCAAGAACATTCCTCGTTTCTCTTCCAGTGACTGGTCCCCTGGCCGAGCCACAGATAGCGTTTATATGCAGAGAAACACTGAAGGGGCTGAAGTACCTTCACAGTCGGGGCAAGATGCATAGAGACATCAAGGTGTGTACACAGGTCATGCGTGTCCACATAGTGCATCCATCACATGTAGTGCTAAATACAAGGTTGCAACTTAAGGCCCAAAATGAAAATGTTGGTTTCTTGTAATCTGACGGATAGAGAATCTCACCCAAGTGTCTTTTGATATCAAATATATCAACAAGAGTTAATAAAAGTGGAAAAATTCCAAGGCTTGCCGAGGATTTTTGACACTTTTATTAACGAGTGTTGATATATTTGATATCAAAAGACATGAGGGTGAGATTTTATTTATCATCCAACATCATTCTTCAAACTTTTTCAATTTGTAGACTGTAATTAGCAGTGTCTTCAGTGTAAAAAGTACTGTAACAGCTTCAGTAGCAGAGTCATTAGTGATGTCAGTTGATTGTGACGTCATGGTAACCAGTGACGTCACAAGGGTCTGCAAAGCATTGTGATGTAATTTGATCTAATCCAAGCGATATCTCCTGTGGGAGCCAGTTTTGGATGATAAGTAGAGAATCTCACCAGAGTGTCTTTTGATATCAAATATATCAACACGAGTTGATAAAAGTGGAAAAATTCCGAGGCTTGCCGAGGATTTTTGCCACTTTTATCAACGAGTGTTGATATATTTGATGTCAAAAGACACTAGGGTGAGATTTTATTTATCATCCAACATCATTCTTCCAACTTTTTCAGTTTGTAGACAGTAATTAGCAGTGTCTTCAGTGTAAAAAGTACTGCTTACAGCTTCAGTAGCAGAGCCATTAGTGATGTCATTTGATTGTGACGTCATGGTAACCAGTGACGTCACAAGGGTCTGCAAAGCATTGTGATGTAATTTCATTGCAGCGATATCTACAGTGTAGATATCTCTTGATCTAATCCAAGCGATATCTCCTGTGGGAGCCAGTTTTGGATGATAAAGCCATCTCTTCTCCTGCAAACCTGAATTTTATATCACATTGTTCGCTTGTTGTCTCTCTCTCTTTCTCTCTTAGTGAATTTAGTGAATTTAGTGAATTTAATATTTACCATGTTTACACCTGTAACTTTTTTCCACCTACTGCCCTAACTAGATGTCTGTACATGCTGTAGACATGGGTAGAACTGGTATGTTTCGTAATAGCATATCTTCAAAATTGTAGGACGTTTGGCTTTGAAATGCAAATAGAATCTTTGAACCGATGAAAACTTTCAAACAACCTTTGCATAGGCAGGATAGGGATCTCTAATAGTTAGTTAACTTCTAGTCTTGAGTTCCAGAAACGTTATCATCTCTTAACAGGCTATAGACAACACCTTATTATTCGTGTTATGATGATTGTAGTATACTACTCAAAACAAATTAAGGACCGCTGAGTCATCATTTTACTCTATTTAGTCTGTGGTTGCATGCCAGATTAACTATAGTAATATGAAAGAATTGCGTGGTCCTTAACTTTTTATGAGCAGTATATTTTCATGATCTTAGAATGGTGTTGCATTGAATGAAGTGATGAACTATTCAACAACTCTGTGTTTCAGGGTGCTAATATTTTACTAACAGATGAAGGAGATGTCAAACTGGGTAAGTGTTCGGGAAATGAGTCAGAAGTCGTGCTGAAATTTGATTGTTAAATGATTTATTCATCATTTTCATGTACACACTGGTGCAGTGGTCACTTAGCATAACACTACTGCCACAGGCTAATTTGCATATCATGTGACTGGACTTTCCTCCTGTTTGTAAACAAATGTGCTTATTCTGAAATCAGAACAGATTAGCCTGATGCAAGTATTTGGGGGCGCTTTACATACTGTTTTGCATTATTATATAGATATGCTACTACAACTGGGACAGTGAGGTGCATGACAATATATATTCATACTTCAAAGTGACCCTAGCTCTCCATATGTCTTCGATGACAGCATGTTTAGCTGTACAACCAATGTAAAGAATGGATAAATACGCAAATGGAATTAGTTTTTCAAATTTTAGGATATTTTCTCAATGAAAGTTAACCATTCTATGACATATGTTAATCTATGTTACTTGTCAGAAATGAAACAGATGAAAAACATATCATGCATATGCAATGGACTGTTTAAGATATGTCGATTCGTCACATGGCGCTGGCCTGTGGCAGAGGTACTAGGCTCGTCGCATGGAACTCTGGGTAGGAGAGTGGTTCCTAGATTCCCAATATAATGTTTATTGTAAATTAACATGATTTCTTCATCGCATGCAGTAGAAGTTTCCTAATTTTGCCCTGCACAAGAGTGAGTGGTTGAACGCTGCTTTGAAAAGTATTCCTTTTATGTCACGGTGTGTCAGCTTGATGTGCGATTTGGTTGGGTTTGGTTGGTTGTTTAATGCCGCACTCAGCATTATGATGACGGTCTGTAAATAATCGAGTCTGGACAGACAATCCAGTGATTAATATCATGAGCATTGATCCTAGCATATTGGGATCGATGACATGCATCAACCAAGTCAGCGAGCCTGACCACACGATCCCGTTAGTTGCCTCTTACGACAAGCACAGTCGCCTTTTTTACGTCAAGCATGGGTTGCTGAAGACCTATTCTACCCCGGATCTTCACGGGTGTTGATGTTGGAGGAAAGCCCGAAATGATTCAGGTCTGAGACGTTAACCACTTTTTCGAAACCCACGAGCACGAGTAGGGTGATGACAAATCCTGCACAAGAAGTATGAATGGTTTGTAAAGGCATATTAGCAGCTGGAGATATATGTTTGTTTGTTTATTGTATTATACTGAGTCAGCAATATTCAAGCAATTTCCCAGCAGCCTGTGAACAATTGAATCTCGATGAATCAGCATGATTAACATCCCTTGGAGAAGTTGGAGTCAGGGTACAATGACACACAATCCGCTGACCCGTGAAGATTCCAGGGTAGAATAGGTCTTTAGCAACCCATACTTGCCGTAAAAGGCGACTATTCTTGTCATAAAAGTCCGCTACATTCAAGTCGTACCACCTGATTCCGACTTCAGTCATCTCTTAAAAACACTTGTGAGTCTCAAGGTATCTATTCTTACTGGGAATCCTCACAAGGTGGGGATCAGCGTAGCCTGGAAGAAATATCAAGTACTTTTGAAAGTGGGGACTTTGATTGAGAGAACAACATTGTGTTTCAGCTGACTTTGGTGTGTCGGCCCAGATTACTGCCACAATGTGTAAAAGAAAATCTTTCATTGGGACACCTTACTGGTGAGTTTTCTATATCTGAGTTGTCGAAATAGCACGAATATAATTTATCATAGGACACTAATCAGATTCTGTTCTGGTAAAATAGAACAGTTTTAGAGGTGTGGATTCCATTTTGTTCCCCAATACCATAGAAAACATACCATATTGTGTGTCATCTATGAAATAGGGGGCAAACAAAAGGAATTGTTGCAAACAAGTAATTTTGTATTGGAAATGTTGATATTGATGTGAAAAATAACTATTATGCATGTTTGAGTGGGGTTTCCATGTTAAAACAGTGGCATGCTACCTTAGTGGGCTACCCAAATATGAACTGGCTAGTCCAGATTAATACATGCAGCCACACACACATGTGTGCATCCACGTTGCTATGTAAGTGCAGTAATCTTGAGACCGCCTCCGTGGTCTAGTGGTAGAGCGTCCGCCCAGAGAGCGGAAGGTCCGGGTTCCGATCCCCGGCCGTGTCATACCAAAAGACGATAAAAGATGGTACTTGTTGTTACCCTGTCTGGCGCTCGGCATTAACATGATTAAGGGGCTAAAACAAGGACTGGTCGGCTGGGAGTCTGTATACTGTGTCTGAGTGGGGTATTCATGTTAAACTGCGGCATGGTATCTCAGTGAGCTAGCACTATAAATCGGCATCAGTCCGGACTAGTACAAGCAGCCACACAAACACACACACGTACATGCACGTCGCTATATAAGTGCAATAATCTTGGACGCGACGTTAAACCCCATTTCACCTCACCTCACCTGTAATCTTGAACGTGACATTAAACCTTGTCTTACGTTACCTCACTAAGAAGCTTGATACTGGTGTGTATACTGACTCTGTGTGTCTGTGTGTGTGTGTGCAGGATGGCTCCAGAGGTTGCTGCTGTGGAGAGAAAGGGGGGTTACAACCAGCAGTGTGACATCTGGGCCGTGGGCATCACTGCCATTGAGTTTGCCGAGTTGCAGCCTCCAATGTTTGATCTTCATCCCATGAGGTAGGTATGGTCCTGCGCCATGACTGTGGAATTTATATAGACAGAGATATGGATAGAGATATTTCTTTTTACTAGAAGCCTAGGCAAGTCCAGGTTGAACTGAACCAAGTCTAGTTTCCTTGATGAAAACAAAAGCGGAAAGATTCTTTTGATGAAAAAAAACTATTTTAAAGAAATGTTTTCATACTTCATAGACTAGGTGTTCGTCTAATGTATTTAGTCCTGTAGTTGTAGTACCATCAAGTGACACTAGATTAAAAAATGAGAGTTTTTTCTAACTTATTAAGATATGTAATATGTCATCTGTTTTCCATTAATTTTTTTTATCAAATGACTGTGTTAGGTGAAATTGGCTTATTAGGACTGTAGCATATTTTCGTCCCCCTCCCTAGTCTCTATATCATGTTCAAATTTATAACCTTTTTTGTTGTTTTTTAATTATTTATTTGTTGTTTTTTCATTCTCACCCTTTAAACACTCTCCCTCCCACCCTCCTTTGTTGTTCCATGTGAAGATAAGTATATTTTTGATTGGTAATCAGATATTGAAAGTGAAGGCATTGAATGTATCTCTTTTCATTCCAGGGCATTGTTTTTGATGTCAAAAAGTGGCTTTAAACCTCCCCAGCTCAAAGATAAAAACAAATGGTGGGTATGATAATGTGAAACTGTACTTTGCATTAGCCTCAGTCTCTTATCTGAAGTCATCATCAAAATCAGCTTGTCTAGTTTTTCCTTGTGCTACCAGGATACGTGAATGTATTGAATTAGAGCTGAGAGTACAATCAGTCATAGATTACTCTTATGGGCTGTGAGGTAGCCTAGTGGCTAAAGCAGGGATTTATGTAGAGGCCAGTATTCGGCCCTTAGCCTGCAGCAAATGTCTGTAAAAATTCCCAACTTGGAATGAAGATTTTTCCTATTCATGTAATCATGTTAGTATAACAATATAGTTTTAACTAATATTATGGCTTTGTAGAGGTTTCTTATATTTCACTGTATGGCGATCTACCTTCAGTTGCTGGCGATCTATTGTCTGTTTTAATAATGTGGTGTTATCTATAGTAATATCCATTTTATGATTCCATACTAGTTTTAAATATATTTCTGTGATAAGTCTGGTTATTTTACTGTCCTTCGTTGACAGGTTTTTATGTAAGTATTTATTATGTGTAACCCTTGATAGTCACGATATGGCTGAAATATTGCCGATGTGACTTAAAATTTTAACTCACTCACTCATTATATTTCACTGATAATAGGACCAACATAAACATGATAAAGGAACAGTCATTATTGTATTGGATGCGATGTTGAAATGCCTCTGAATTAAAAAAAATAAAGGACTATAAAAACGATTAAAAAATTATCCCAATTTTGCACAAAATAATAATGTTTTCCAAATAAGCCCGCATAGGGCACTAAGTTTGAAATTCTAGATATATGCCTGTAAGGTGTGTGGTCATCATGCAGAAGAGCCAGTTTGAAACCCAAATGTTTGGCAAAGATGTTGTCGAAATCAGTGGAAGGTGACACTAATCACGTTCCAGTGTTTCTGGTGACCATTGACTGCTGGGACAGGAGTGATTAGAAATACCAGTCACATTTTAGAACATAAAATGTCTCCTTTTAACCTGACGCATATCTTTATCGCTTACAACTTTTTTGGTTTTGCCACTGAAAAAAGACAATGTCTGTTTGTATGAAACCTGTTTACCCCAGTAAGGACTGAAACGGTGCAAGAGTATATCAGCCAATGACAAGAAGTCTTTGTATGAAGTGCGGAAGATGTATAATTAGACACGGAATGTACCTCTCATGTTTTGTGAGAATAACACAAAAATTGTGAAATCAGTGCTCATGTTACTCTTGTAAGTTATGTTTTGAGAATGCTAAGTTATGTATAGTTATTTATACAGGTTCCAGATGCCGATTGAAATTCCTGTTTCATTTTACCGTCCAAAAACTACCAGTACACTACATGTTCTCTCCTCGCTCAATGGCTGCTCTGTTGTTCACAGGACCACAGTCTTTCAACATTTTGTCAAAGTTACACTGACGAAGAATCCAAAGAAGAGGCCCCCAGCTGATAAGTTGTTAGAGGTATGTCTTTGTATGTCCCTGTACATCAATAGATGTGTGTCACTGTATGTCCCTGTATGTCCCTGTACATCAATAGATGTGTCACTGTATGTCTCTGTATGTCCCTGTACATCAATAGATGTGTGTCACTGTATGTCTCTGTATGTCCCTGTACATCAATAGATGTGTGTCACTGTATGTCCCAGTACATCAATAGATGTGTGTCACTGTATGTGTCTGTATGTCCCTGTACATCAATAGATGTGTGTCACTGTATGTCTCTGTATGTCCCTGTACATCAATAGATGTGTGTCACTGTATGTCCCTGTATGTCCCAGTACATCAATAGATGTGTGTCACTGTATGTATCTGTATGTCCCTGTACATCAATAGATGTGTGTCACTGTATGTCTCTGTATGTCCCTGTACATCAATAGATGTGTGTCACTGTATGTCCCTGTATGTCCCAGTACATCAATAGATGTGTGTCACTGTATGTCTCTGTATGTCCCTGTTCATCAATAGATGTGTGTCACTGTATGTCCCTGTATGTCACAGTACATCAATAGATGTGTGTCACTGTATGTCTCTGTTTGTCCCTGTACATCAATAGATGTATGTCACTGTATGTCTCTGTATGTCCCTGTTCATCAATAGATGTGTGTCCCTGTATGTCCCAGTACATCAATAGATGTGTGTCACTGTATGTCTCTGTATGTCCCTGTACATCAATAGATGTGTGTCACTGTATGTCCCTGTATGTCCCTGTACATCAATAGATGTGTGTCACTGTATGTCTCTGTATGTCCCTGTACATCAATAGATGTGTGTCACTGTATGTCCCTGTATGTCCCAGTACATCAATAGATGTGTGTCACTGTATGTCTCTGTATGTCCCTGTACATCAATAGATGTGTGTCTCTGTATGTCCCTGTACATCAATAGATGTGTGTCACTGTATGTCCCTGTATGTCCCAGTACATCAATAGATGTGTGTCACTGTATGTCTCTGTATGTCCCTGTACATCAATAGATGTGTGTCACTGTATGTCTCTGTATGTCCCTGTACATCAATAGATGTGTGTCACTGTATGTCTCTGTATGTCCCTGTACATCAATAGATGTGTGTCACTGTATGTCCCTGTATGTCCCTGTACATCAATAGATGTGTGTCACTGTATGTCTCTGTATGTCCCTGTACATCAATAGATGTGTGTCACTGTATGTCCCTGTATGTCCCAGTACATCAATAGATGTGTGTCACTGTATGTCTCTGTATGTCCCTGTACATCAATAGATGTGTGTCACTGTATGTCTCTATATGTCCCTGTACATCAATAGATGTGTGTCACTGTATGTCTCTGTATGTCCCTGTACATCAATAGATGTGTGTCACTGTATGTCCCTGAATGGCCCAGAACATCAATAGATGTGTGTCACTGTATGTCCCTGTATGTCCCTGTACATCAATAGATGTGTGTCACTATGTCTCTGTATGACCCTGTACATCAATAGATGTGTGTCACTGTATGTCTCTGTTTGTCCCTGTACATCAATAGATGTGTGTCACTGTGTGTCACTGTATGTCCCTGTATGTCCCAGTACATCAATAGATGTGTGTCACTGTATGTCCCTGTATGTCCCAGTACATCAATAGATGTGTGTCACTGTATGTCTCTGTATGTCCCTGTACATCAATAGATGTGTGTCACTGTATGTCTCTGTATGTCCCTGTACATCAATAGATGTGTGTCACTGTATGTCCCTGAATGGCCCAGAACATCAATAGATGTGTGTCACTATGTCTCTGTATGTCCCTGTACATCAATAGATGTGTGTCACTGTATGTCTCTGTTTCTCCCTGTACATCAATAGATGTGTGTCACTGTGTGTCACTGTATGTCCCTGTATGTCCCAGTACATCAATAGATGTGTGTCACTGTATGTCCCTGTATGTCCCAGTACATCAATAGATGTGTGTCACTGTATGTCTCTGTATGTCCCTGTACATCAATAGATGTGTGTCACTGTATGTCTCTGTATGTCCCTGTACATCAATAGATGTGTGTCACTGTATGTCCCTGAATGGCCCAGAACATCAATAGATGTGTGTCACTATGTCTCTGTATGTCCCTGTACATCAATAGATGTGTGTCACTGTATGTCTCTGTTTCTCCCTGTACATCAATAGATGTGTGTCACTGTGTGTCACTGTATGTCCCTGTATGTCCCAGTACATCAATAGATGTGTGTCACTGTATGTCCCTGTATGTCCCAGTACATCAATAGATGTGTGTCACTGTATGTCTCTGTATGTCCCTGTACATCAATAGATGTGTGTCACTGTATGTATCTGTATGTCCCTGTACATCAATAGATGTGTGTCACTGTATGTCTCTGTATGTCCCTGTACATCAATAGATGTGTGTCACTGTATGTCCCTGTATGTCCCTGTACATCAATAGATGTGTGTCACTATGTCTCTGTATGACCCTGTACATCAATAGATGTGTGTCACTGTATGTCTCTGTTTGTCCCTGTACATCAATAGATGTGTGTCACTGTGTGTCACTGTATGTCCCTGTATGTCCCAGTACATCAATAGATGTGTGTCACTGTATGTCCCTGTATGTCCCAGTACATCAATAGATGTGTGTCACTGTATGTCTCTGTATGTCCCTGTACATCAATAGATGTGTGTCACTGTGTGTCACTGTATGTCCCAGTACATCAATAGATGTGTCACTGTATGTCTCTGTATGTCCCTGTACATCAATAGATGTGTGTCACTGTATGTCTCTGTATGCCCTTGTGTCACTACATCTGTATGTAACTATATGTCTCTGTATGTCACTATATATCTCTGTCTCTGTATGGCCATATGTCACTACATCTCTATGTCACTATCTATCTATGTATGTCTCTGTATGTCTTTCTATGTCACTATATATCTCTATGTCTCTGTATGTCCATATGTCACTACATCTGCATGTCACTATCTATCTGTGTATGTCTCTGTATGTCACTATCTATCTGTCTCTGTATGGCCATGTCACTACATCTGTAGTCACTATCTATCTGTGTATGTCTCTGTATGTCACTATATATCTCTATGTCTCTTTATGTCACTATCTATCTATATATGTATGTCACTATATATCTCTGTCTCTGTATGTCCATATGTCACTACATCTGTATGCCACTATCTATATATGTATGTCTCTATGTCACTATATATCTCTATGTCTCTGTATGTCCATATGTCACTACATCTGTATGTCACTATCTATCTGTGTATGTCTCTGTATGTCACTATCTATCTGTGTATGTCTCTGTATGTCACTATCTATCTGTGTATGTCTCTGTATGTCACTATATATCTGTATGTCACTATCTATCTGTGTATGTCTCTGTATGTCACTATATATTTCTGTCTCTGTATGTCCATGTCACTACATCTGTATGTCACTATCTATCTGTGTATGTCTCTGTATGTCACTATCTATCTGTGTATGTCTCTGTATGTCACTATATATTTCTGTCTCTGTATGTCCATGTCACTACATCTGTATGTCACTATCTATCTGTGTATGTCTCTGTATGTCACTATCTGTGTATGTCTCTGTATGTCACTATCTATCTATATATGTATGTCTTTGTATGTCACTATATATCTCTGTCTCTGTATGGCCATATGTCACTACATCTGTAGTCACTATCTATCTGTATGTGTCTGTATGTCACTATATATCTCTGTTTCTGTATGTCACTATATATCTGTCTCTGTATGGCCATATGTCACTACATCTGTATGTCACTATCTATCTGTGTATGTCTCTGTATGTCACTATCTATATGTGTATGTCTCTGTATGTCACTATATATCTCTATGTCTCTGTATGTCACTATCTATCTGTGTATGTCTCTGTATGTCACTATATATCTCTGTCTCCCTATGGCCATATGTCACTACATCTGTATGTCACTATATATCTCTCTGTCTCTGTATGTCACTATATATCTCTCTGTCTCTGTATTTTTGTCACTGTATGTGTTTCAGCATTATCTTTATCCCATGTTGTCAATGGTATCATGACAGCCATTTTGAAACATGACTTTTGAGGTGCATGTAAAACTCTGATTATTATGTTGTAGTTCGTGTTCAATAGAAGTGTGTTAAACTGTCAAGTTAATTGTTGAACGTTGCATTCATGCATCAGAATTACATTTTATTAGCTAACCTGGACTGAAAGTTACATATATTTGCATATTCTGGTTAACCTGAAAAGAGTGTTCCACAAGAAAACGGGTGGGAGACTTTGTGGCTTGATTTGTTACTTCTGACCGTGTCGATCTGTTACATTTGCAGCATCCTTTCCTGCAGCTTGATATAAGTAGGCGCTTGATAAAAGAGTTGTTGGAGAAGTCACGGAACCCTACTACAAACAACCATTATGAGATGTCTGAAGATGATGATGGGGTAAGAGTGATATGCATAAACAGTGACCTGCTCACTAACTAGAATGGCATTTGTACTATTGTGATAGTATCGCAATATTTAAGAACAGTATTGCAGTTATATTGGATTGCAATATTGTTATTGTTGCAGCCTTTCACTGCTGGGGTCATGTTTTAAGATGCGGAAATTTTAAAGGCAGACTTTTTGTTGATGCGGCTGTGCCTGAGGACCAAGACTTCTTTTTTGCCTAAAATTATGAGTGTTTTCTGAATGGATGGCTTCATTGATTGCATGTCAGTGTAACCTGATGGCATGGACACTTGCTCTTTATATCAATCACTGGTTTTCTGGTCCAGACTCAATCATTTACAGGCATTATATTGCTGGAATATTGCTGAGTACGAAAGCCTATTGGGGTCAAAATTGAAATGTGGAATAGACATGAAAAGAAATTTGTTATGATGGAAAAAAGATTCGTTATTATCATGATTATGGGAAAAGTTTCGTTATTACAAAAAAAGATTTGTTATTATGAAAATAATTTCGTTATTACAGAAATAATTTTGTCATTACGGAATACGGAAAAAGACTCGTTATTACAACAACAAAAATCGTTAAATATTACGAAAAAAAGATTCGTTATTATGAAAATAATTTCGTTATTACAGAAATAATTCTGTTATTACGGAATACGGAAAAAGATTTGTTATTATGAAAAAAAGATTTGTTATAACAAAATTATTTCTGTAATAACAATTTTTTTTCCGTTATAATGAATTTATTTCCGTAATAACAAATCTTTTTTTCCTTTATAACGATTTTCGTTTCGTGTCTTTTCCATATTTCAATTTTGACCCCAGTAGGCTTTCGTAGCTGAGTGAGATGTGGAACAATAAGCAACAAACAACATTGTTATTGAGTCCCTAGTCACAACCCATGGACAGTACATGTGTGACACCAAGCAGATACTCAAGTCTGTTGTTGCCTGTCTATTTCCAGTTCCTGCAGGATGCACCAAGGAGGATATCGTCCAAGAAAACTGCCCGCCAAAGTCAAGCTACAAACAGTATCGAATTGAAAGGTGAGCTCTCAAGGCAATATGTTTCCATCTCAAGTCACTTGCCAGCTCACCCATGAAGATCTGGATTAGAATTGGTCCTCAGCAACCTTTGCTTGTCGTAAGAGGCGAATAACGGGATCGGGGGGTCAGGCTTGCTGACTGTTTCATGCATGTCATGGTGTCCCATTTGTGTAGACAGATGCTCATGATGTCAATCACTGGTCCAGACTCAATTAATTACAGACTGGATTTATCATGGTTTAGATTGTGTTCGGTAGGCTGAGCATGTACTGTAGTGTTGGTCATCTACCCCCTACTACCTCTGTTTTATCGCTGATTGTCTTTAACGCTTATCAATTATTTGGACCCCTAAGCTATCATTCTAGTGATTGTAAGGGGGCATGGGTGACCCAGTCGTCTAAGGCGCCGCGATTTGCTGTGCAGAGTTGCATCCCTTGGGCACGCCAGAAACCTATGATTGTGGGTTCTAATCCCGATTCGCCCCTATTATGTTTCTAGGTTTGTCAGCACCATACCCATGCTCGTGGGTTTCACCAAAGTGGTCAGTGGAGACCTGTATCACTTCAGGCTTTCCTCCCACATTAAGCTGACACGCCGTGATATAACTGGAATACTGTTAAAAGCGGCGTTAAACCCAACTCACTCACACTGTAGTGTATTCATAGGCCTCAACATGGCATCATATAACATAAATGGGTTAAATAGATGCATATTTTATCCAATTGTTAATCATGTCCTTATGTTTCTTTCAGTAAATTTGAATTTTGATTCACCGAAGGTATGTACTTTATCTCTTTCCAATTTCAAGTTTGGTTAATAACAAAGATAAGATTGATCTTTTTGGACATGATGAAGTCTGCAGCATGAGTGTGTTGAACTGATTGAAGCATGATGCAGTGACAGGAATGCTCTGGAAAAATAGAACAGTTGATGAAGGAATAGTGATGGTAGTACCAGGGTAGATTGGTAGTTCCATGAGATTGGAAGTTCCATGTATGTTTCATACTCAATCTCATTAAAATTAGATCTAAGTTCTCGCTGCTGCTAAACGAAGATCTGAGGACATCCCATTACGGGTCACGTCAGAACGACCTTTCGCGAAGATTGACCGATCACTGAAATAACAAACAAGAAGTCGACATCAGCCAATAAGAAAGCAGCTTTCTCGAGCTTTACAGCACTCGTTTCAATGTGACGACTTCCATTTCAGAATACGCTTGAAAAATATGTTGGCACAGTTCTCGATTAAAATTTTGAAAACTGAACAAACGAACATTCCGGAATGTCTAATATATGGTTGAGATTGTATGGCAGTACTTCCCATGTACTGTGCAACGCCTCCTACATTCAAATGTTTTACCCAGGGAAGCGAGAGACAGACGATAATTTTGACGGAATCAGTCGTACGAGCTGTAACTGTCGTTGGGAATACCCTGTGTTAAGGTTTTCGAGGTTGCATGATGAGAAAACACATTCTGATTGTCGCTTTCATGATCTCGTAAACGACGCTTTGATTGGTTGGATGAAAGGTCGTTCTGACGTGACCCGTAATGGGATGTCCTCAGATCTTTGTTTTGCGATAGCGAGAACTAAGATCTGATTTTAATGAGATTGGTTTCATACTTAGTTTAACCACCACGATGTTGACACTTTTTGTCTATTATTGTTATCAGACATATTCAGACACTATTTATGAACATTGGAAAAAATTAAATTAGTTTTCATCATTTTGGTAAGATATTTAAGATAGATAACGGACAGTAAACTCGTATCAATTCTTGGTAATAGTTTTCAAGTTCAGTTATGGAAAGAAGACTGTGCATGCAGCATGAAACTATGAAATGAGTTTGTAACAGTGTTACCTTTAACTAAACCTAACAGCAAACAACTTGTGAATGTGAAGAGTTGCATCCCTTGGTAATGCCAGGATCTGCTGACCATGTGTTTGAATCAAAGATTTGCCCTGATTATAATCCTTGGTTATTATCTGATTCCGTGTGAGAGAGATAGTGGTGATTGTCTCAGAGTTGAGTCTTAATGATGAATGTGTAGCCAGGTACATGAGCACAATAACATAAGCTAAGGTGTACCTACGTGATGTCTGGCTACACAAGTCTGATATCCTTTAACAACACCAATTAAAGCCAAAGTATTTTTATATTTTTTTTGGTTCACAGATTATTTTGTGAAAAATCCTGGTCGCTAGGTGGGGAAATTTTTAAATTAAAAAAAAGTTATTTCAGATTATTGTTTTGTTATTCAAAAAGTGAATATGTTGCCCTGAAGGCTTGCAGTTGAAGCTAATGTTTTCACAAGTTTGTTTGGTGAACACATCACATACATATTTGAAATGATTTTCTAAGTGCATTTCAGATCTTTTTTGAAGTTTTTGTTATTTTATGACCACCAGAATAAAAAAACAAAAAGTGTCCCCCATTTTTTTAATCTTAATAACTACAAGTGTGTTATCATGGTTATGATTGAATCAGAATAGTGACAGCATATGTTGATGCATCGCTGTGTTGAACTAACATTGCACGTGTTGCAGGGTGCAGAAGCCTTTGATTACGAGTTTGCCCAAGGCTGGGACATGAGCAGAGACCGTACACATGTAATGCTGTTTGGACTCTGTTGCTATTTTATCTAGATATGGTCACACTTACACACTTATGCATGAGAAGCAGACTGCTAGCCCAGGCCTTGTGGGTGTTCTGTTGCTGGGGTTGTGTCTAGTGCAGTTTGTTGCTTGAACAGTTTGTAGGAACCAGTGTAGATTTTCTGTCAGTAGAATCCCCTTAACCATGTTAACCCTTGCTGAAGGGATCGTTGTTGTATGGGGTCCATACTGTCCTTGACAACTGTGACCCCTTCAGCCTAACCCCTGTACTTCCCTTGCTCATGTTTCTAGGTCTTATCTTGGGGAAAATGTAAACTGTAAAAGGGTCTTTGTCATGGTCCTTATAAATAATGATAGACAATACAACTGATATCCAGGATCCAAGGACACTGATATCTTGAGTCTTTGAAAATATCTATATATTTAAACTTATCCTATCTCACACTATGCATTTCTTCTTTCTTGTTTCGATCCTTATGTTGAAACTTGCTTGAACAAAGTTTCCAGCTTCCAAAAATTCACACGAAAACATCCCAGCATCACCATGGCCACCACCCAAACACACTGTAATTCCACGTAGTAGGGTAGGGTACCACCTCCTTGGTATATATACATGATATAACACCTACACTACTAAGGAAGAAGACAGGAACAGACCAAGACAAATGCCCAGCCTCCTCAAATTTGGCAGACCCTAAGGACTGTCATTGTCTTTATTCAAAGGACTGTTGATGTTCCCAGTGTCCTCACCTCTCGGAGCAAGCCTTTTGTATTTACCTACGCAAATCCTTTAGCGTAATATTGATCGGCAGACTAAATCTAAGGAAGCAGAACACGGGCCTACCTCTGCTAAGAAGCCCAAACGTGTTACCATGTTGACAGTCTCTTCCACACTAAAGGGATCAACGCGCTAGATCTGAGCATCAACGTTCCCGAGATCAACACTCAGGAGATCGACTTAATAGGGATCGCTGCTCGACTGATCGATCTCACAGCGTAACTTCTAATAAATCACAGACCACTCCAGCTCGTCAGGGTAATTTTCACTATTAAATTTCCAGTCGTGGAACTGCCAGCATCTACCATTCCTCCTTGTCGGCTGAAGATGATGGCGTCCTCACTGATAACGTTCCTGCGATTCCGACCAGCCGATTATCCCTAGTGCGTCTGTATCCATGCCTACCTTGGTGCAACGAGCAGCCTCAGACGTCAACATGGTTCTCTCTAAGGATGGCTTGTCCAAGCAAGCTTCGACATCTCCTACCGTCAACCCTCCTAACGCTCCCCAATCGTCAGGTCTGCTGATCGACCTCGCAATGGAGCTAAACGGACCACCCTTGCTCGACATGACAATCGCCATCATTCGGAGGAGGATTCCTATACTATGCTGCTACCCATATCCCTCTCCTGGCCGTTTAGTAGATAGATATCAATACTGATCTTCTAGACTCGTGAAGATCCGGGGTAGAATAGGTCTTCAGCAACCCATGCTTGCCGTAAAAGGTGACTAACGGGATCGGGTTGTCAGGCTCGCTGACTTGGTTGATGCATGTCATCGATCCCAATTGCGTGGATCGATGCTCATGATGTCAATCACTGGATTGTCTGACCCAGACTCGAGTATTTCCAGACCACCGTCATACAGCTGGAATATTGCTGAGTGCGGTGTTAAGCACCAAAAAAACAAACTAAACTAAAACTAATCTTCTAAGGATTGAATTCTCATCGCCTCTGGGTCAACATCAACATCGGGATTGACATCAATACCATCCGCTTATTGATCGACAAGTGGAGTGACATTGACACCCTCTCCTTGGGGTTGACATCCTCTCCTCGGGGTTGACATCAATATCGATAATGGGGCACATGTTCTATCTATGAATGATGTCAGCAATGTCGCCAACTTTCCAAGACGGATTTATAACTTGCGTTCATAATTGCCAAATGTTCGGTGGATCAGCGTTTCAAGGCAGTTGAAGAACTCTGTACTATCGTTAGCCAAGAAATCTAAGCAAACAGTCTCTCCATTGTTTATGTTGTTGTCGTACCTTTTTTCAAGACTACATCATCGACCATCACTTCATTATCGATGGCGGTGGACACACTAACCGTTGTGTTCTTCACAGCCGAATTTTCCGCCTTTCCAAGGACCACAGCTCTGTGTGTGAGGATACATGTTCACCTTCTACAGTCCCGCACTTGGCCAACAACCCACCATACTGTATGATCAAGACATGTTATTCTATTGCATTGACATCTATATAAGAATCAGCGTGATCTTATTGTACTGTTGCTACACCATACCTGGTTCAGATGAACTACGTTGATTTGGAGATGTTATGACAGTCTAGATTCTCATCGCCTTCCCTTCCCTACTTCACGGAATCACCAGAAATTATCCTCGGCGTTCATTCAGTCTGTTGCTCAAGAAGATTGCCAATTTATTAAGGATCAAGATCGGGGATATTACATCTCTCAAGACAGACATTATCAAGGGATTGAAGATCGACTGGATCGTGCGCCGCATTTTTACGAATGTAATCGACTGTCATTTCCAACTTATGAACATGCATCAGATATCACGGAGATCAACTTGCTAATGCACCGGTCACGCCACACATTTGCGAGGGAAACAGGCTGCACCTACACTGTTATCTCTACGGAACTTAGGACACCCTTTTTGTTCATCTGCTATTCAGTTCTCTCTGTATTGTCGCGTGATGAGTGTGAGTGGGGCTTTACACCAAGTGTTAGGCGAGGACATACCCTGGTTTCCCTGCCCTGAAGCGCTTGCAGTCAGCGCCGCTCTACAAGCCCCGTGCAGCCACCAGGATACATTATTCAATGCCCAGTGCAGGGATGTTTTGCAAATCAAGCGTAAGGAGTTTTCTCTGGATTGTAAACAAACCCCCCATGCTGGAATCAGTACAAACTGACCTTTGTTGACACCTCAACACCGCCGGGGCGCCCGCTTGCACAATCTACTGATGATTGGGTGATGGTCTGTCTACATAAAGATCGAAACAAGAAGTTAGAAATGCATTTTGTGAGATAAGAAAATAATTATAAACATACAATTTTTTGTAAAATTTTCTGTTCTAATTTTCTGGATTACCCTGGTAATTGAACTGAAATTAATGAACCTGTGTTTGTTGCATTATTTTATGGTATTTCAAGGTTGCAGCTTTTGGAAATAGGATCACTTATATTCGGCACAATTACACAGTGATTACTCATGAATTGAGCACAGCGTTCACCAATCAGTTCATAGGAAGGCAAAGAAAATATTGCAGTTTAATAACTGGGAATCTGATACAGGAATCTGGAATCTGCTTGGTGTGAAATCTCTCCCAACTTTTATTCCTGATTATAAATACCTGTAATACTATTGTGACAATGTGAAAGATTATTTTGACTTTCAGTGGACATATGTTATCATCATATCCCTTGCTTGTGCCTTCATCCTCAGCCCCGGTTTCTACATCCCATGTTCCACGCCTTGCTTTGTCTACCCCCAGTGAAGATTCGCATAAACACTGTGCCAATAGACTGACCCTCAGTCAAAAATACTTTTGCACAAATACCGAACATCATGGTTACTCTTTAGCTATAACCAGGATTCACACATGCTTGAAAACGCCTTGAATTCTTTCTTTGTCAGTTTTGAAAATCCTTTAATTCAGGATCTGCAGCTGCTTTGAAAAGTTCTTGAAATATATGCCATGAAAAGTCCTTGGGTTTTCCTGCCATTGTTCACCAGAATTCTATTCCATAAGTATTCTTTAATTCCACAAAGGGGATTTGTGACCTTAGATTTGAGGCTGGAAATTTATGAAAATCACTTCAGGTCATCGATGGCCCATTTGAATAAGGTACTGCAATTTTCCGTTCAAAGTTGTGTCCCTTAGGTGTGCCACGATCCTCTGAAAGTAAGTTCGATTCCTAGGTTTACCCTTATTATGATTCTTATTTACCACCACAACCATGCAAATTGGTAAATGCCTAAAGTCTACATCACTTACAGCTTTCCTCACACATAAAGCTGACATGCCATGGTATAACTGAAATAGTGTTTGAAACAGTGTAAAATGAAACTCGCCCACCCACTCAAAGCATGTTCCTGAGGCAAGAGAGTTTACTGACTTTAAAGGTCCAGTTTCCACCCTTGCCGAACTAGGCTGGAATTCCTGGGCTTAATCGTAGTGCCACCAGTGGTTATTATGAGTTATGTCCCTTCTATGTGTCTTCTATGGACCAATCGGATTCCACCCCTCGTATCACTTGCATTTGCTTCTAACAAAATGGCGCCGCCCAGTCAAGACGATCTGATCGATACCGGTAATCAAAATCTATATTGTGATAAAACAGGTCTTACATCTTGAAGTGCATCAAATCACATGAGCACCTTAATTAAAAACATGAAAAGACTTGGAAAATATCTGCTGACACCGAGTTGGCAGTACACATGCTTTGCAAATCCTGCAATCAACCGAAATCAACATGACAGTAACGAACAAGGATTTTTTATTTTATTGTGCGATTTTGATTGGACTATGCATAGACTTGTAAGTCCAGCCAAAATCTGGATAATTAAATCCATGATACCAGCCTAGTTCGGCAAGGGTGGAAACTGGGCTATTATAGTCAGATAACTCCCTTGCCTTTGGAAGATGATTCAAAGTCACTTCAGCAGTCCCTGAACCTAGACTTTATGGGTGATCAGGTAGTCCTTAGCAATCATTATCACTTAACACTTCCACATCCGCATGACAGCATCTGCAACATGCTGTGAAATGTTTTACTTAGTCCTCTGTTTTAATGTCATGCATTCCATTTTATGCCACACCTCTTTCAGGGTTGTCATTTGGCTATGCTTTGTTTATATCATTGCTAATACCATGCTTTTACTAACATGATATTTGTTTTTCATCAATTGACTTTGTTGCTTGAAGCAATTGGCAACACCTTAGCTCCCTTTCAAGTTGAATATGTGTTCATTGGATTTTTTAGTTACTAAGACTTTTTTTAATGTAAGTTCAAGATTTCTCCAAGTAGACAGACCCATGAAGATCCGGGGTAGAATACATCTTCAGCAACCCATGCTTGCCGTAAAAGGTGACTATGCTTGTCATAAGAGGCGACTAACGGGATCCGATGGTCTGGTTCGCTGACTTGGTTGATGCATGTCATCGATCCCAATTGCGTGGATCGATGCTCATGATATTTATCACTGGATTGTCTGGTCCAGACTCGATTATTTCCAGACCGCCGTCATATAGCTGGAATATTGCTGAGTGCGGCGTTAAACAACATCCCAACCAACCAACCAACCAAGTAGAAAAATGTAGAAGTCTTGACCAGAACAGAATAACTCTAGGTAGAGTTATGTATGTTTACAGAGTTTGATGTTTTGACTCTTTTCAAAATTAAATATTTTTAATTAATTTTAATATTTATTCCCCTGATAATTTTTTAAGTATTTTGACACATTTTAGCCATAGGTATTATCAATCCCAGTGAACAAATAGTCAACTTGTTGCCTAGATGGACAGCTCTTGGCCACTGCATGGGCTTTGTGTCATCATCAGCTTCTACTTGTTATGTGTTTCATGCAGTGTGTTCGTCATTCGTTTCATTTAGGTCCATGTACGATGAAGAAGAGGTATTTAGTTTCTTTTGATCTTTCAGACTTGAGATAATCAGGTGATAATGCTACTGACCTGCAGAGGCTGAGCTTACTAAATCCCTCTGAGAACAGTTTAATACTCTTAGCAAGGATAGATCTTAACACAAGCTCAACCTTCACAGGTTGTCTTTCTGTGTAGAAATGTTTCCTTTTTATACATGTTGTCATTATCATGATTATATTCTACTCAAAAGAAGTTAAGGAAGACCTTATTCTTTCATATCACTGTTGTTCATCTGTTATGCCATGAAAAAAACCAGATTAACTATAGTAAAATGAAGGATTCAGGTATTCTGTAACTTCTGTTGAGTAGTATGTATACTGTTCAACTTTTGATAGGGATAACCCTGTTATTCCTTGATAGACAACATCCCGATCAAATACTGTGTATTGAGTGAGTGAGTGAGTATGCTCTTACGCCGCTTTTTGCAATATTCCAGCAATATCACGGCAGGGGACACCCTAATGGGCTTCACACATTGTACACCATGTCGGCAATCGAACCCGGTCCTCGGCGTGACAAGCGAACGCTCTAACCACTAGGCTACCCGACCGCCCCTACTGTGTATTGACATCAATATAGGCTGATAGAATTTCAGGTTTTGAGGCCATCATCAGGCGCTTCATCGAGGTCAATAAGTTGTCCCCTGGGAAATTAATATTCAGTGATGACCTTTGACATGTTGAGGTCCTGTCCCAGCTGAGACTTTCTATTTTATCATTCTGTTTGTTTTTATCAAAACATGTCCTAAAATTGAGTAGTGAGATTACTTTGCCCATCAACACAATCATCACATTTGCCATCTGAAGTTACGACTTTCGACGTTTGTTCAAAGAATCCTGTTTTGAAATTCTCGTGTGAACACTGTGAATGCAGTAAAAACCAACCCTATTTTAAGCATCTTCTGGGACAAGTGATATTCATAAAAAAAATATAATCATGATAATGTGACTTTTCCCATATGGTCGATATAAACTTTGTCAGATTACAAAGCAGAAGAATAAGCCCAAAATGATAATCCTATTTGTACACAAATTAACAGTTGTTTTTGTAAAGTGTATATGTGCAGATGTCTGTGAATAGCATTATATGTGCCTGTCCTGTCTAGGAAGTAGCATATTGTCATGTACTACCTTCCTGACACCTTGCTACTGATTGCAGGATGAACAGTACGACACGGCGCGCCCCTGGCCGGAAGACGACTTGTCCAAGAAGTGAGTACCACACATGCATGTCGGATGTGAAGTGAGGGTCAGGAATTTCGTTTTTAAAATATTTTTGGCTTTACCGAATGGTAATCAGACATTTATGCATGGAAATGCTTCTTCCAGGCTGGTGGTGAAATGGGGGACGATTTTTAGCCCACCTGACTCAAACGTTCATGATGGCTTACTCCTGCGGTGTCATGCTTTTGTAAACGATTTTATTGCAAGGAATGTCCCTTGGGATGATGGCATCTATCTGGAAATGCTATTAATCGTTTATCTTGTTATCTCTTTTCAGCTTCAGATAATGCATTTTGCTATAATTGTTTATTTATCTCAGAATAATTGCTTGGGATATTTATTTACCTAACTGTATGAATTCATCGAGGAAATATTACGGTTATGAATATTACAGACATGATAGCTTTCTGTTGACTGAATTAGTGTTTGTTCTACTGAAGCATTGTGATGTTATTGTATAGAGTGTGAATGATCAGTTATGTTTGTTAATGTGTATTGGATCATGCGTAATATGCATTGTCATGGGCGACATGATGTAGTGGGTAGTGAGTGTAGCGTGGCTTGCCATGGCAGCATTATTTAATCCTAGACATGTTTGACAGCCAACTGGTTGTGTGGCTCATTCTATAGAGTTGGGATGTATTGCCTTGGTTTAGTTCTTTGTGACTACTTTCCTTATTAGTCAATGTGAGTTATCTTTTCATCTTTGTCATCTGACTAGCTCTGACTGTCACTTGTTAATTGATCAGCCTTCTGCAATGGTGACTGCTTAATTTGTTTGCTCGAATTTGAACTCTGCCGCTGCAACCATGCGCTTAAGACATGTAAGAGAATTCCTGTCTGATACGCCTCCTTTATCCACATGGGCGATTTTTCTGACATGTGATTGAATGACCTTGAAGGTCAAGGTCACACCGATGAACTAGGCCTAAAAATAGCTTGTGTACCTGATCACTTGAGTATTTATTAATGGAATTTGATGAAACTTTGTATGCATGGTCATCTAAGGTGAGGTCCCGATTGTATCAATTTGAGGGTGACCTCCTTGTAAGGTCAAGGTCAAGAGGCCAAATGATAAAACTTGAAATTTCATGAAATTACAGATTAATTCATGAAGCATCAAATGCAATCAGTTAAAATTAACTTAAAGAAATTAACTCAACACCTGTCATATGTCATGATTGTGTCAGGGTTGGTTTAAATGTTATTCAGTCATGAAGTTTCTTGTAAATAGTTTCATTGAGGATGTATTGTTAGCGTGGTGTAGGGACTTTTTTGCAACACAGCCCTAGTTTGCAACAAGTAGTGTTTAGACATGTGATTGGATGATCATGATGTAGTGTAGTAGACTTGTAGACTTGTGTATACACAGTATCTTGAGCATTCACAATCTCATTAAAATCAGATCTTAGTTTTCGCTACCGCTAACCAAAGATCTGAGGACATTCCATTACGGGTCACGTCAGAACAACCTTTCGCGAACATTGACCGACCAATGAAATGACTGACAAGAAATCGACATTTGCCAATCAGAAGGCAGCTATCTCGAGCTTTACGGCACTGGTTTCAAACTGGCGACTACACTTGGAAACATATTTTGATGTATTCTCGATTAAAAAATTTAAAACGGACCAAAACAACATTCTGGAATAGCTTATAGATGGCCTAGATTGTATGGATATAATCATAAAACCCGTAACTGTTGTTCGGAATACCCTTTGTTACATATTTCGAGGTTGCATGATTAGAAAACACATTCCGACTGTCACTTTCAGGATCTAGTAAGCGATGCTCTGATTGGTTGGATGAAAGGTCGTTCTGACGTGACCCGTAATGGGATGTCCTCAGATCTTTGTTTTGCGGTAGCAAGAACTAAGATCTAAATTAATGAGATTGAAACTTTATATACATGATCTCTGGGCCGCTCATGGTTGAGACTGAAGGTCAAGATCATTAATCCGGAAGTGCTTAGAACTAGATCATGAAGGTAGCTGGAGAGAGTGTTTTCTGTGTCAAAGTTGTACTGCATAGGACTTGTGCGAGGTCAGCTGTCACCTGATGTGGTAAAGTCAAATACCCCGGTAGTTCATGATACATGTTTTTGAACTACAGTGGAACTACGTATAGACATCCTTCATTTAGTGGTACTGAACTGGTCTTGTTGCGTGATGTCTTGTAAACAACAGGGAACGCCTCTCAGTTATGTGTAATGAACGATTCGTCTCTGATTTTTCGCGAATTTTCAATATTCATAATGTCTGAACGTGGGCAGGTAACTTTGAAGATGGGCAGGCAACACTTATGGGTCATCTGTCTTGATGGGTTTTAAAATTATTTCAAACACTGTAAGGTTTATGCTTCATCTACAGCAATGTACCTACATTCTTTTGTGGTATATTTCACCATGTATGTCGACAACTTCTTACTGTTATACTATGTGTAGCATACCGTATATGACCGCAGATAAGCCGACCCCCGTAGATAAGCCGAGGTATTAACTTGACCATTGAAATACGAAAAAAAATGATATGACCCGTAGATAAGCCGAACCAGGAAGTGATAGGCAAAAAACACTGAGAAGTCGGACAGGAGGCATGTGCTGGTACTCGCAGATATTCAATAATATAAGATGAAAAACGTTGTAATTATCTTGAAAAAGTCATAAAATTTCATAAATCCATACTGGAAAGTATAGGGGTCCTTGGGTCCTTGCCAGGACCCTTTGACTTCAAACACTGCTAATCATTATGGTAAGGTGAGGTGAAATGGGGTTTTAACGTCGTGTCCAAGATTATTGCACTTATATAGCGACATGCATGCACGTGTGTGTGTGTGTGTGTGGCTGCTTGTACTAGTCCGGACTGATGCTGATTTAAAGTGATAGCTCGCTGAGATACCATGCCGCAGTTTAACATGAATACCCCACTCAGACACAATATACCGACTCCGAGCCGACCAGTCCTTGTTTTAGCCCCTTAATGTCGAGCGCCAGACAGGGTAACAACAAGTACCATCTTTTAACGTCTTTTGGTATGACGCAGTCGGGGGTCGAACTCCGGAGCTTCCGCTCTTCGGGCGGACGCTCTACCACTAGACCACGGAGGGGGTCTCTAATCATTATGTGTGTAACAGTGTCCCAAAGCAACAGAAGCTACATTTTTATGAATATGTTTTCTTCCTTGAGGTAATATTTATATTTCATGATTAAGTTATAAACCAACCATCATTTAATGATCTTACTGGTATCATTTGTTAACAGTTTAAAAAAGGTTTTGTAATAAGTTAGTTACATAATTTTGTTCAGTGAGGGAGTTCTGGAACCTTGAGAACCTTAAGATTTGCTGCTGTAGCATTTGAACCTAGGGCTTTTCAGGATTATGACTTTTATGCTTAATTTCAAACACAGTGTTCAGAAGTCAGGGTAATATTTCCAGCAGAAAGTTTGCTATCTTAAATTAACTTGAACAAGATACTGTTTTAACCATTATGTGTTACAATGTAAATAAGTTTGGTCTCCATCTATGATATTAAAATAATTCTAACCCATCAAAACTGGAAATATGCGTCACACTCTAGTCTGTCTTACAGACCCTGATACAAATATATATCAAATACAGCCCATGCAAGTCTATAATGTTTGGCAAGTCTAGATTACTGCAGTATCTGAAAATGAAGAGAGTCCTGGGCTCCCTTTTATTATATTTCTATTAAGATAACTGAACAACTGTTTTTTCTGTACGATATGTTCATTTTAGAGACTAGATGTTAGTCTACGTCACACTCCTGTTCTTAACAATTAAGAAATACCTATCGTCTCCCAATCGCGTGGATCGATGCTCATGAGATCAGTCACTGGATTGTCTGGTCCAGATTCGATTATTTGACAGCCGTCATATAGCTGGAATATTGCTGAGTGCTGTGTTAAACAACAAACAAGAAGAAGAAGAGAAATACCTATGTATTATTGACCTAGAACTAGAAGGAAGGAAGTGCACATGTCACCTTGTTTGTACAATGTTTAATGGTTACAGAATATAGAGGACAGAGTCACTTCCTGGTGTCGATCATGCATGACTGGTGAAATATAATTCATACTGTTACCCGAATTGAGGGTAAATAAACAAACATGGATTACATAACAGTGTTTCTTTGTGTCAAAGAAGGAAGTTGTTGTGTCAGACTTGCGAAATCTAGCACATACTAGCTAAATTTCTATATTTGGAAGTGTACATGTTATGTGTTATGGGTTTATGAATTTTTGGGGTTTTTTCAGAAAATAATTTTATTTCATGATTTGGTCATTGCTAGCTGAGAAGACCAGGGCCCACGTGCACAAAGCAATCTTAGCGCTAAGATGATCTGATCTCCCAAACATCAACATGGACTTACAATAGTCTTAGTGCTAAGATCGTTTTGTGCAAGTGGGCCCAGATCGTCTAGTGGATAGCATAGGTACTAGGAGTGTTATGCTTAGCCAGGGTAGAATAGATCTTCAGCAACCCATGCTTGCTGTAAGAGTTGACTATGCTTGTCGTACAAGGCGACTAACAGGATTGGGTGGTCAGGCTCGCTGACTTGGTTGATGCATGTCATCGTATCCCAATTGCGTGGATCGAAGCTCATGATGTCAATCACTGGATTATTTACATCACAGAGCTGGAATATTGCAGAGTTTGGTGAAAACAGACTAACAAAAGCATATAGGAATACTTGGTCATGATTCGATTTTTATTGTAATACTTAATTTTGGCTGTCTTGATGTGGAACATTCCTTCAGACTTTCCTCTTATCATTAGGGGGCATGGGTGGCCCAGTCGTCTAAGGCGCCGTGATTCGCTGTGCAGAGTTGCGTCCCTTGGGCACGCCAGAAACCTATGATTGTGGGTCCAAATCCTGGTTCGCCCTAATTATGTTTCTAGGTTTGTCAGCACCATACCCGTGCTCGTGGGTTTCACCGGAGTGGTAAAGGTTTGACGCTTGCATCACTTCAGGCTTTCCTCCCACATTAAGCTGACACGCCGTGATATAATTGTAATACTGTTAAAAGCGGCGTTAAACCCAATTCGCTCACTCACTCCACTTATCATTACTTACTACATTCTGTGATTTTCAACTTAAGGAGAAGAGGCCAATTACTGCTTGAATAGCCCCTACATTTTTCATAGAAGTGTGATATTCTCAAATCAGTTTCTCGTACGAGCTAAGAGTATAATAGTTAGATTCAAGGATCCCTTGAATTAAGTATGGGACGACTAAGTTACCGTACAAGACGTAAAAAGTGCCCAGGGCACTCTCAAAATAAGAAATAAGGGGCTCTTATTAGAATATAATTTTGGTGAAAAAAACAAACAGTTGAAAGATCATAAATTTCTAGGTTTATGTACCTCAAATGATACAAAAGAACAGTCTGTGCGTCTTATACACGACAGATATATTTTTCCAGAATTTAATTGCCCATAATTAAGGGTGCATATAACACACGAGTGCGTATTATACACAAATAAATAAGTCTTGTCTACATTGATCAATCGGAAGAGGTGCTAATTAGGATTGTTCACTTGCCAAAATATTAGCAAATATCACCTTGGGTGCTTATTAGAGCGGGGCGCTTATTACGTCGAATACGATAATAATAAAATATGGAAAGTATATCTCACATTTCGTCAGGAAAATCATGACATTTTTATTACGTTGCGGTTTTAACTGGCCAAATGCCAAGTCATAAATAAAAATATATCCCCTTCTCAGGGACTGTCTGCGTCTGATATTTGTTGTCAGAGTTGTATTATGCAGGTCAAACTTTGTTTATTACGGTAAATAGAAACATTGTATGGGGGGGACGTGACATTATAATTATCCCCCCTGATGGGATATGCATGCCACGAATGGTACATAACTTAGGACGATTCATTTGATGCATGTATTTGATGAAAATTCTTGACGTCAAAATGAACTTAAAAATATTATCTAGTTTAGCATTTAGGACTTCAGTTGGCACTTTAGAGGCATTTTAAAAGGTGTTTTGATAAATAATAATGTTTGAAATTAAATGAAACCAATGAGAGGTGTTTGTGCGACTATTAGAATGTCGACTCCTGTCTCATTAAGATGCATCAGCCTGTATAGCGTTATGCATGCTAGCTGCTGATGCATGTGTATTAATGCATGGGCTGGAAGTAACAAATAACATGCATGAATATTCAGCAGCATGTTTCACAGTGTACTATGAACGAGATAGGCCTGGAGCATGCACTATCAGATTACAATAGTGTCAGGGGGATTTTCCTGGCATGATAAACAAACAATAATAGTTGCAGTGTTATCTCGTTAACCTTGCTTGTTAATATGCTTGGATGTATTTTACTACTCATGTTTCAAAGAGTTGTCAAGAGTTGTAAACATTACATTAGGATGTAGTCTATTCCTATAAACTTGATCCATTCACAGAACTAATTTTATGAAATTGTATAGGAAGGTTTTTATGTTGATCAAGATACTGGTGAAATAAGACAAATATTAGTGTTGACACATCAGTAGAAATTGTCAATGTGCATGGCATTATTCTGAATTTCTCTACTGTGATTTTCCTTATTTTTCAGGCACTATATTTGATATTGTATCTCATGAAACTGTGTTTGATTTTTGTCTATTATTTATTATGCTGTGCACTAGGATAACACTGTGGGTTTGGGAGATGGCTATGTTTCTGAAAGTCTACGCTCTTGGATGGGCATATTACAATTGAAATTTGACATCTTGGTTAAAGTAATATTGGGTATTTTTCTTTTGTGACTATTCTGCAGAAAAGCTGGTATTACCATGTTACTATTGGACGTTTATCTGAAATCCTACGGTTTAGCAACATCACAGTGTCACTGAAATCAGATCTTACTCCAATGCAGCGTTAGAAATTGGTACTAGTCCTGTAGTCCTTACCAAACTGCCCAATAGTAAAGGTATCCTAAGGACTAGTAGAAGTTGGCCCATTTTAAGGGTTTGCTATATGTTATCATTATGAGGACTAGTGGGCAAAAACTGTTAGTTTCTAACCCTGCAATGCGATACGAGATACCTTCTGTGGAGGGGATATCAGATTGTCATGCAGAGAGATGCTATATTAGAGTTATAGATCTGATTGTAATGAGATTGTGTATGTTGAACCTCTCTTACTCTTTCATCTATTCTGTTGAATTTTATAAATTTATTTAAACTGATTGCCCTTCACATTTTTAATAGTCTTAGCTCGGGTCATTTCAAATATTATTTAATGCATGAATGTGCTGACACAGAAACCTGTGTATGATTTAGCAAAGGGATGTAAGATTTGAAGGGACTGAGTATTAATAGCGGTGGTTGTATTTTGTTTTATTCAGGACTTTACTAGAGTCAGTTGACGAGGAGTTACTACAGAGGTATGCAGCTGCTGCATCACAGCCCATGTATAACCCCCGCATCTCACGTACAGCTTGCTACTAACTCCGTAACACGGACAGAGACACCCACACCTCAACGCACGTCATCCTCCGCTTTACAGGGTATCATAGCGCCATTGTAGCAATAGAATGGAGATATGATACACTTAGAGTCACGGATGATCGCTATGTTAATCTACATTTTCAAAATGTTAAACGGGATTTTTTTATTGAGAAGCTTATGGGAAAGGGAATTGTGGTGAAGGAATGTGACAGAATGTTTTGTGTGTGACTTGAGCAGATCATGGATTATTGTGGATTGTTTTATGATTTTTGAGTCCCTTTATGTGCTCGGGAGTTCTAGTAACGTCCTTAACACTTACGGAAAAAATGAAATACCCTTTTGTGAGCATTACAAGCCACCTGGCTTTATCAGGGATTGTCATGAACAATTAGTCCGAATTTATGTCACCGTGCCAATAGAAACTGCACACATACAGTTTGTAAAATATTCATTAAGCCAATATTTTTTAACTTGCTGGATCATGGATCCACGAGCATTTTTTTCTGCCAATACGTCTCACATGCAAAATATTTTGTGATTCTTCTTTTTATTAAAACCATCCACAACACTAATATGATGTTCAATTTGGCAATCATATCTTTGCAAAGTCAAAAGCTGAAGTTGATTCCATTCATAATAAATCTGGAATTCTGTCCCTTGCTTTTGATCATCAGACTTTACCAAAGACAGGGTAGCTAGGTTGAGGCTCGTCTGGTCGCCGACTTTGATAGAAATATCCATGATCCAACAAATACTGTATTCGACATAATAAGGGCCCAGGGTGCTCTCAAAATTAGAAATAGGGGGCTCTTTTTAGAATATTATTATGGTGAAAAAAACAGAGTTGAAAGATAAATTTCGTGGTTTATGCTGACAGCCTGAAATGTTTATGTACGACAGATATATTTTTCCAGAATTTAATTGCCCATAATTAAGGGTGCATATAACTCACAAGTGCGTATTATACGTGAATAACTAAGTCTTGTGTACATTGATCAATCGGAAGGGGTGCTAATTGGGATTGTTCACTAGCCAATATATTAGCAAAAATGGGCGCTTATTAGAGCGGGGTGCTTATTACGTCGAGTACGGTAAGATGTGTTGTGGCCTTGCTGTTGAGGTGTGGAATCTTTCCTGACTAACTTCACCAACCACTCATTTCACATGCTAACACCCCGTCAACCCCCATGTATACAATCTGCCTATACGGGCTGCAGTGTGCAGAAACTTGAACCATGCTTCATCACTGATCACATGGTTGAGGTCAAGTGTTGGAAGGTAAACTAATGTCAGTCAGACTACTGTTCACAACATTATCTAATAATCGTGTCACAAGTTGAACACTCATCATCATCTTATCAGTTTTATTAACAATGATAGCCCTTAATTATGGGCAATTTAATTCCGAAAAAATATATCTGTTGTACATAAACATTTCAGGCTGTCAGCATAAACCACGAAATTTATGTTTCAACTCTGGGTTTTTCACCAAAATAATATTCTAATAAGAGCCCCCTATTTCTAATTTTGAGAGTGCCCTGGGCGCTTATTATGTTGAATACGGTACTTGCCAATCATTGCCTCAATGAAATGAAAGGATGTTCCGTAACAAATTGAGGATTAAGAACTTTCACTAAAATAGGAAATTAGTGCAGAATGAGTCTTCAGCTACATGACTGGTCATTGTGTGAGTTAGGTTAAACGCTGCATCAGCAATATTTCGTCCCTGTAGCGACCAGTAGCGACCAGTAGCCATGGTAAGAGTATAAACTTGTGATTAGATGACACTATGGATGCTAGGTGTGTATGGTACTTGGGAAGCAGTGACATCAGGCCATCAAGATTCTTGCGTGTGTTTCTCATCTCCATGTTCAGCTTAAGAGGGAGTGGTTGGAAGAAAATTATAAAATGATAATAATAATTAAGTCAAGTTATTAAAAGCTTTGCCGAAGTGAAACATCTTTCGAGTGTCAAGGTCATCAATACTTTTTCTTTATTTAAGCTCTGTTTCCATGTTATGTTGCTAGTTTTAATTGCCTCATCTCTCACCAACTTGAGTCCTATTTCATGTTGAATTCATTGTTTCATTAATCATTTGTAACAATTCAAAACTAATATGGTAATAAAATGTTAAGCATGTTTTGAAAAGTTCATAAGAAGAGAATGCCAATTTTCATTCTATTAATACAACATAAAGAATGAATCAGTTGTTAGTCTTCCATTTAGACATTATGTGTAGATAAACTAATATGGAAGCTGTTTTGGGAACATTGACTCAAGTGCACACTTAAATAATATGCATCTGACAATAATTCCCGAAGAGCTTTATGGCCAAATAGACCACAGAATTACATGTTGTTTAAGGGATGAGGATTGAGTGTCGGTGGATGCAGGTAGATTGTAGACACTGTCATAGACCAGGGCCCATATGCCCGTAAAAGCGGCGTAAAACCCAACTCACTCACTCACAATTTGATCCCTGTATGACTGAAGGTTCTCGTGATGTACTGGAGTATGGCCAAAGACTGTAACATGGAACCCTGGTGATAAGCCTCACTGAACACGCTAGTCTTCCTATTGGTATCTACGGGGCAGTCGGGTAGCCTGGTGGTTAAAGCGTTCGCTCGTCACGCCGAAGACCCGGGTTCGATTCCCAACATGGGTACAATGTGTGAAGCCCATTTCTGGTGTCCCCCGCCGTGATATTGCTGGAATATTTCTCAAAGCGGCGTAAAACCATACTCACTCACTCACTATTGGTATCTACATGTATTGCACTGTAGCACCCTCAGGTCATCAGTACTATTGTGTGTTTCTCATCTCCATGCTCAGCTTCAGCTGGTGACAACAATGTGAAATAAATAATACACCTGCCTTTAGTCATTTTAGTTATGGATACCACTGTCTGTTATTTAAGAATGTGCCAAAGTGATATCAAGTTGGTCATTTTATGATTACTATGCAATATACTAGGCCCATTGGAAACAGTAAAGGGTTTAAAATACTGAAAAACAAAACAGTAGGCAGGTTTACTTCCTACTCGAATATCCGCAAAATAAAATGCAGTGCAGATGTTTTCAAGAATATAGGATAGTACTCAATTGGGCAAATTGATGGATATAAAATCTTTTCTTCTGTTTTTTACTAGTTTCCAATAGGATGGGACGAGTCCACATTTAATACCCGGGTACCCACCCCCTATTACCCGACCCTACCTGGGTACCCGTTGTAGGTCACAAGAGAAGGGTACAAAATGTCTGATTGGGAAACGTTTGACCGTACACCTCTCACAATATATTTAGATACACGTATAATCCAATCTGGTCATGCATACACTTAACTTGAATGAAGTTATAAGTATGCAAACATATAAAGTCAGAAGGATTGTGTGTATAGTCAGAACAAAATTTGTCACTTATAGTGTAACCATAGAGTTCTAAATATGTTTTGCCATTAAACAATATAATCACGTGACTTACCACGGGTCTGGGTAGTCCTGTGGGTACGCGGGTCCTACTCAGTACCCACCCGACCTGAGTACCCGAGTTACCCGTCCCAGCCCTAGTTTCCAAACAACGGAAATGAGAAACACATACATAAATCTTCCCCCAAATGACATGCACTGAATCCAGTCAATACATCAAATCATTCCTATTCATAATAAAGCATGTTCATACAGACATTCAGCAGTTAAACATCACTTTTGTTAATACTAATACTTCAGATTTTATTTACACTAAAATCATAAAATTGAAATAATACTTGTTTCACACAAATATGTTATTTATCATCTAATATCTTCTAATATCAAACTATCGGTTTCAAATGAGAAGAACTTCAAATCATCACAAATAGGAAAATGATTGGAAAATGGATTTCCAGGATTAGTAATCCTCCACAAGTGAAATCTCCCTATAATCTCCAATCGCATCCAGATCAGATCTTTCACTCTAATACGATGCAAAACTCCTTGAAGATTTGAAGACCCTCCATGGAGGACCCTGAACCCTGAACAAATTTTGACCCCTCAATCTAAATAAAGGAGTCAAATGTCACCTTTCTAAAATAATTTGGTTTCATGTCTTTAAAATTTTGATCCTGACAAAACAAAACTTGACAGGGAACAAATATTCCCTTGAAGAAGCCAAGGTGCTCAAAAACAACGTACAATATCCACAGATATGTAGAGCAGCCTTTAGTATTTTTCATTCGGTACTGCCAATAATATTCTTTTTCAAGACACAGAAATGCTGCTTTTAAATGCTTAGCTCACTCGTATTGAGAATTTTGAAGCCTCGGAACTGATTGCCTGCAATGGTGGGTTTGTTTAGGCCAGCGTTAGAAACTGGCACTTGTCCTATAGTCCTTGCCAAACTGCCCAATAGTTAAGGTATTATAAGGACTAGTAGAAATTTGCCGTTTTTAAGGATTTTGCTATACGTTATCATTATGAGGACTAGTGGGCTAAGACAGTTAGTTTCTAACGCTGTGAGGTCTTCAGGCAAAGAGGTATCGTATTGGAGTAACAGGTCTCATTCTAATTAAATTGCTTAGTCTCAAGACTCAGGACACCTTGTTCCTTTCACTTCCAGGGGTCATCGAAGTAGTTTAGTATATGAAGAAGTCAACTTTGAACAGTAAGGGTTAAACGTGTGTCTCTATCTGTTCCTGTTCTGTTCCCATTGTGTTCCCTGTGCATGTCATCATGTCTCTGTCTCGCCTTCCACTGCCAGCTTCAGATACAACTGTAGCATCTCTAGTCTAACTCTGCTACTTACTAGAGGTTTACTTTAACTCTTTATCTCTTCATGATCAGACTAGGATCAAATGTAGGCCTTTGGAAGTTTGAAACTATGTTCTATAGACCTAGGTCATCGTAGATTTTAGTTTAGTGGAGACAATCATGCTTCGTGGAACAAGGTCATCCATTTGCGGAGCATGTAATGTGTTTTGATGTGAGAATCATGTTTTGGACACAGTTTCTTGATTTTCTAATGTATTTGTGTCTTCAGTTCATTTTTAGCCATTGTTTAGTTGTTATTCTTTATAATAACCATTCATTGTGACATCTCTCCCATATTCATCATAAACCCGTGAAGATCGGGGTTGGAATTGGTCTTCAGCAACCCATGCTTACCGCAAACGACCACTATGCTTGTCGTAAGAGGCGACTAACGATATCGCGTGGTCGGGTTCGCTGACTTGGTTGATGCATGTCATCGTCTCCCAATTGCATTGATCAATGCTCATGATGTCAATCACTGGATTGTCTGACCCAGACTCGATTATTTCCAGACCACCGTCATATAGCTGGAATATTGCGGAGTGCGGTGGTAATCAACAAACAAACAAACAAACAGACAAACTGTATTCATCATTGCTCACTCATGTGGGTGGTACATTGGTCAAGGAATGGCATCAGGATCGAGAATTAGGATCAGACTTTATCTGAGTGTATCGTTTCATTATGAGCTTAAGTCAATTGTTTGTCAATACATCAGTTACCAAATTATCTTCCTCTCTTTGTCATGGTTACGGGTTCCCCGGTCGTGTGAAGCACCACAATTATCTGCTCAGAGTTATGTCCCTTAGGCGTGCCAGATACTACAATGTAGGTTCGAATACTGATTCGCCTTATTATGTTCCCAGGTTTGTCAGCACCATACCCATGGGTTTCCCCCAAATTTTAATGACATAATACCTGCACATTTTGGTCCACATCAAGCTGGCATGCCACATGACTGAAATACTGTCCAAAGCGGCGTTTCACCCAATTCGCTCACTCCCGTAAAAGGCGACTATGCTTGTCGTAAAAGGCGACTAACGGGATCGGGTGTCAGGCTCTTTGACTTGATTGATGCATGTCATCGACCCCAATTGCACAGATTGATGCTCATGATGTCAATCACTGGATTGCCTGGTCCAGATTCAATTATTTACAGACCGCCATCATATAGCTGGAATATTGCTGAGAGTGGCGTTAAACAACAAACAGACAAAACAAACCTCTCCGTGGGAGGGAAGAGGTTTATCAAACACCATCATTGTTAAATGACATGCTGAAATTTGATAGTGAACAAAGCTTTAGATACTGAATGATTAATAGTATGTCCGAAAGATATGCAAGATCATGAAGATATTGTTCCAATGTGAATAGTTGGAAAATGAAAAATCAATTGATTGTAGTCACTACTGGTAAATGTTAAGTCTAAACGTGAGACGAATACTATGTTAAAACCCCGCAGAATAAACTCTGCTTGTCCTGTTGAATGAAACAAGTGGTCAATGCATGTCATCATTTCCCAATTGTGTTGATCGATGCTCCTAATGTCTATCACCGAATTGTCTGGTCCAGACTCGATTATTTACAGACTGCTGTCATATAGCTGGAATTTTGCTGAGTGCGGCGTTAAACAACAAACAAACAAACAACATGTGGTCTATGGCTTACACATAATGTACTGTTGTATCATGTGTCATTTTCACACTGTCCAGATTGACAAAGTTTCTTTACATGCTATCCTAGTGCAAGGGAGTTGGGTCATATTTATATCAAACAAATACTGTAATGTTCATACCACGTGCACTCGTACACTGCAACCCCCATCACGATTCCAGGTTAGAATTAGACCCCAGGACCTCGTTCAACAAAACAATCTTAGCGCTACAACGCCCGTAAGTCTATGTTAAAATATGGAGTTAGGATCACCTTCGTGCTAAGATCGAGAAACGGGTCCCTGTTGTACTAAGCAATCTTTGTGCTAAGGTGATCGTAACTCCCATACATAGACTTACGACAGTTGTAGCGCTAAGTTTGTTTTTATAACGGCACCCTGGTCCCGAGCACCCTATGCTAGTATTCAGAGCCAACTTAAATGGTGGTCAAACTCCGTGACTTGCTTGATTGTGTGTCACTGTATCCCAACGTCATGAATTGTTGCTCATAATATCAATCACTGGTGTGTCTGGTCCAGACTTGATTATTTACAGGCTGCCATCATATGACTGGGATAATGCTGAGTTAAAACACACACAAACACATGAATACTTGTACACCTACTGCTATAATTTATCATTTTAGTATTGAGGACATCAGTATTATTTCTTTAAGTTGTGTACATGATATTTTGCCACTTGATATTCCTAATAAGTTATTATTTACTTGATTGAGTTCTATTTCATGTTGAATTCATTGTTTTATTAATCATTTGTAATAATAATATTATAAATTAAACATGTTTTGAAATGGTAACAAAAGGAGAATGCCAATTTTTATTCTGTTTGTAAAATGTTGAGAAAGAAGTCAATTTATTAGTCCTCAATCTCATTAAAATCAGATCTTAGTTCTCGCTACCGCTAAACAAAGATCTGAGGACATCCCATTACGGGTCACGTCAGAACGACCTTTCGCAAATTTTGACCGACCAATGAAATGACTGACAAGAAATCGACATTAGCCAAGGCAGCTTTCTCGAGCTTTACGACACTAGTTTCAAACTGGCGACTACATATGGCTTTGAAACATATTTTGACGTATTCTCGATTAAAAAAATTAAAACTGGTAAGAAGAACATTCTTGAATGGCTTATAGATGGCCTAGTGGCCTATATTGTATGGATATAATCATAAAACCCGTAACTGTCGTTCAGAATACCCTGTGTTAAATATTTCGTGGTTGCATGATTAGAAAACACATTCCGACTGTCACTTTCATGATCTGGTAAGCGACGCTCTGATTGGTTGGATGAAAGGTCATTCTGACGTGACCCTTAATGGGATGTCCTCAGATCTTTGTTTAGCAATAGCGAGAACTAAGATCTGATTTTAATGAGATTGATTACACCTTTGTTAGTCGTTATGTGTAGATAAACTAATATGGAAGCTGTTTTTGGAACATTGACTCAAGTGCACACTTAAATACTATGCATCTCACAGAAATCCCCGTAGAGATAATTCAACATACTACATACAAGATAGAATGTCATAAACACTAATGGAAGATACTGCTGTTGTAAACACAGAAATGTGTGACCAGAACGCACATGTGTATAGAACGCACATGTGTTTAGAACGCACATGTGTATAGAACGGACGTAGAAAGAAAACCAATATTGCATCCTGAGGGATGCCGAATATTAATTATTGTACCCAATTCTTGAAAAGAAATATCAAAGTCTCATAATTATACTATAGTAATTGTCAAATCACTACCCTACCCTACCCTACCCTACCCTACCCTACCCTACCCTACCCTACCCTACCCGCTACACTACACACAACACAACACAACACAACACAACAAGGCGTCTACGCTTGTCGTAAGAGGCGACTAACAGGATCGGGGGGTCAGGCTAGCTGACCTGGTTGACGCATGTCATCCATCCCAATTGCGTGGGTCGATGCTCATGATATTAATCACTGGATTGTCTGGTCCAGACTCGATTATTTACAGACCGCCGCCATATAGCAGGAATAGCGCTGAGTGCGGCGTTAAACAACAAACCAACCCAGGGTTAGAAATTGGCACTAGTCCTGTAGTCCTTGCCAAACTGTCCAATAGTAAAGGTATCATAAGGACTAGTAGAAAATTGCCATTCTTAAGGGTTTTGCTATATGTTATCATTATAAGGACTAGTGGATGAAAACTGTTAGTTTCTAACGCTGCAACCAACCACAGTTATGAAATAAAAAATGCACGTCTCAATCCTCTCTGAACATTCATCAGTGTAAATAAGTGATTCGTTTTTGTCCTTGAATGTACATCTCCTTCTGACCTGTGCTCTCTCTGGTGTGGGTTTCTCAGGTTAGAGTGTTCTGTTGAAGCTACTCTGTCACTATGTTCTCTATTTCCTCTCTCTATGTCATCTTTTCATTTCGTTATTTACTACACCAAGATTATCCTACATATAGGCTTAAGTGGAAAAAATGTTAGTTTCGTGCAACCCACTTCCAGTGAAACCAAAACCAAATGGTATTCATATTCAAACCTTTGTCCAATTTGTTTGTGTTTATGTTCCTCAAGCTGTGACATCTTCAAAGAAACTGTCATAACATGTCTACGCACTTTACAAACATATGAAACTTGGGTTGCCCCAAACCAGGATTTTTTCTGATAGCTAGATGTTAAAGTTTAAAGTTCACTTCTTTTCAAATTTAAAATTTGTTACAAATTTATTTTGAAGTATTTATACTTGTACTTTTATCAAATCTTACATAAATTAACTGTATAAAAAGTTTTGAGAAATGTATCTTACCTGGTAATGCTGAGCAAGCAGTTATTGCTTTTATAAACAAAAAGTTCCTCTCAGATAATTTATCAAATTCAGTTGCAGAATGTATTTTTAAGGTCAGGGCAGTGTTAGAAAGTGGAAAGTACAAGATGGCTAAGTGAACTATATAATCTTTTTTTTTCAGATACTATACCATTAAAGGGTAACGCTTCACACTCTGCCTCACTTGTGTTCAGTGCTTTCTGTATTCAGTTAGTCTTTATTTTGGTGGTGGGATCACGTTTAGTTGGCATTATCTTCATCCTAACCACTTGAGCCTTGCCTCGGATGGAATTTGTAATAAGTTGCAATGAGATTATGTCAGATAACTTTACAGCTGTTTACCTTTCCTTGTTCATGTTGTAGTCATGGTAGTTATTGTGAAAAGTTGTTTCACAGATTTGTATGACTGAAACATTTCAGTTTAGGTATTTGTTTTATGTGTGGCCTGTCAGACAGGCTGAACTGTTACGTTAGTGATGGTAGGCGCTTAAACTAATTTACAGTAATGATTATGAAACAACTTTTGAACTTGTGCCCGGTCGGGTTTGTTACCTTAAGCACTATTTATAGGCAAGATCCGAGGTAGAATAGGTCTTCAGCAACCCATGCTTGTCGTAAAAGGCGACAAACGGGATCAGGTGGTCAGGCTGGCTGACTTGGTTGATGCATGTCATCGGTCCCAATTGCGTGGATTGATGCTCATGATATCAATCACTGGATTGTCTGGTCCAGACTAAATTATTTCCAGGTCCCCATCATATAGCTGGAATATTGCTGAGTGTGGCGTTAATAACAAATGATTACCTACTAGTATGAGGACTTAAAATGTATCCATATCTGCAGCTGTTTTAGGTTAATTTTCATTGTGAGGATAATTTTTCTTATTTGTTCGTTACTGTTAATTGCCTTGTTTACTGTTATTTATTTATTATTTTTTTTATAATTATTATGAATATTGTTTGAATCAAAGTTGAATTTATTTTTTTAGATAGGAAGAAACAGTATCTTATGCTGAATATAGTTGATGTTTGACATGTAGCTAAGAGGATATTCTCCTAACTGCTACTTAGAACTGATTGAACGTACACACGACAAAGTTGATTTGTTGGTTGATTTTTGTGATGAGCACCCCACCAGTTCAATGTTATCAGACAACTCACTCACTCACTCACACTCTTTCATTCCACTAATATCTGGATGGTTGGTAAAAGTTAAGTTATCATGTGAACATTCAGATTTCTCGTAATAAACTCTCACTATGCAAAGATTTTTTGTGGAAAGTATTTCTATAATTCTGAGTGTAAAACATTTTTGATGGTACATTAATTACATGCCTGTATATATGTGTCAAATAAATGACAAAATACAAATGAAACTTAAAAAAAAAAAGTGGAAAAATGTTAAAAACATGATATTTTTAGGGACTTGTTGGTTGCTCAGATAAAGAATGTAATCAAAGAAATATAGCATTGCTTGGCAAGTCTTTGATGACAAATCAAGGGGGGGGTCGGGTAGCCTAGTGGTTAAAGCGTTAGTTCGTCACGCCGAAGACCTGGGTTCGATTCCCCAAATGGGCACAATGTGTGAAGCCTATTTCTGGTGTCCCCCGCTGTGATATTGCTGGAATATTGCTAAAAGTGGCGTAAAACCATACTCACTCACACTCACAAATCAAGATAGTATTTCCGATTCATATTAATCCCAATTGGAGGTATTGTTTTGCTAGCAGGATTTGTTGACAGCCTTGCTTGACAAAAAATTAGCTTGGAAATGTTTAGTTGTTTTCAATACAACTTTTGTTGAAATTGTGGTTCTGTAAAATTAACGATTAAACAAATGCCTTCAATACTGCATTCAACATCTATAACATCATAGGTTTCTTTAGGAGGTGTTTTAGTGTGTAGTTGCTAGCAAGCATTCTTACAAGTAAGCATTCTTGATGAGTTAACTTCATCTCTCTGTATTTCATCCTTTGTAAATACCTCATGAAGACAAACTCTACAAGATATTCATTCATTGTAAAGTTAAAATTTACAAATATAATCAAAGATGTAATTATGAAAAATTTACATTTGTATAGGTTTGTAAATATATTTAAATGTTTGAAAATGTTTGTTAATGTTTGTCAATATTGTTAATATCTTATATCTGTACATGACATCTGGACAGCCAAAAAACATTTGTTCTGAAAATTAGTCGCAGTTGCTGTCAATAAGTAGTCAGATTGGTTTCTCTTTGCTTTTCTTTCATTCATGTAGGAAAATAATCAGAATAACTTTTTTCATGATCGGTTATCATGGTTATAGTGTTTTGTGCGACTTGAGATTGAATTGTCTTCCCTATTATGAGACATGGAAGCCATGGGCTTATTGGTGAATGGTTGCAATGCTCATGTTTAGGTTTCTGTCTTCAGTTATTTGTCAGAAGATAAACTACTGGTGTCATCATTGTTGAATGCAGCTTGATGTTTCACTGATACATAATCACTTATCATAAGATGATGTAAAATAAGGCAATGAATAGTATCCTGGGCCCTGCTGCCCAAAGCACTTGTAGTGCTAAGACGATCTTGACTAACATTATCATAGACTTGCAATCGTCGTAGCCCTGATGTCGCTTTGTGGAACGTGGTCCAGGATAATATTCACCTTTTCACTTACCTGACATGTCACTGGTACAGGAAGAGACTAATGACTCATTGATGTACTTGTACCACTATACCCGTGAAGATCCGGGGTAGAATAGGTCTTCAGCAACCCATGCTTGCCGTAAAAGGGCGACTATGCTTGTCGTAAGAGGCGACTAACGGGATCGGGTGGTCAGGCTCACTGACTTGGTTGATGCATGTCATCGATCCCAAATGCATTGATCGATGCTCATGATATCAATCACTGGATTGTCTGGTCCAGACTCGATTATTTACAGACCGCCATCATATAGCTGGAATATTGCTGAGTGCAGCATTAAACAACAAACAAACAAATAAACATGTACCACTCACAAGTTGATCTCTAAGTAAACATGCTTCAGTGTAAATGAACCGAAGAGTTTTCATACGCTGTGTGCCTGTGAACATTTAAATGATGTTTAAGCTGCTTTTTATTTAACAAGCTTTGCTTGGCCTTGTACTGTCTGAGAATTCATGAAATAATTCAAGGCCCTTTTTTTAAAAATCATCTTAGCGCTATGAAGATGTGATTCCAGTACTGTAACTTAGTCTTATGACAGTCGTAGAGCTAGGATGGTTTTGTGGAACGATGTGAATTTTTGATGACAGTGCTGCAACCCCTGGTTTCTGTTTCAGGTCAACATTACCAGTCCAACCACCAGCACTTCCTCCAAAGGTGGGTAGTACCTATGCTGTACGAAATCGAGGGAGATAGTGTTGACGAGGGCCGAAGTGCAATCTCATTAAAATCAGATCTTAGTTCTCGCTACAGCTAAACAAAGATCTGAGGACATCCCATTACAGGTCACGTCAGACCAACCTTGTGCGAACTTTGACCGACCAATGGAATGACCAATCAGAAGGCAGCTTTCTCGTGCTTTACGGCACTAATTTCAATTTGGCGACTACACTTCGAAACATATATTGACAAATTCTCGATTACAAATTTGAAACCTGAACAAAAGAACATTCTGGAATGGCTTATAGATGGTCTAGATTGTAAGGATTCAGTTGTTAAACCCGCAACTATCGTTCGGAGTTAATGTTTTCGAGGTTGCATGATTAGAAATCACATTCCGACTGTCACTTTCACAATCTGGTAAGCGATGCTCTGATTGGTCGGATGAAAGGTCGTTCTGACATGACCCCTGATGGGATGTCCTCAGATCTTTGTTTAGCGGTAGAGAGAACAGAGGTCTGATTTTTAATGAGATTGGGCCGAAGTGTTTCATAGAATGTTATTTGAGTAACAGACCAGCTTACAGCTTAGGAATGTCCTTAGTATTTACGAGCATGCCTCAAAAACATTGAGTCCACTAGCCTGAACTTAGTGGGTAAAGTCGCAGACTGGTATTTTCTATGAGGCTTTGTCCTGCTGACTCGTAAGAGGTGACTATGCTTGTCATAAGAGGCGACTAACGGGATCGGCTGGTCAGGGCAATGACTTCATTGATACATGTCATCGTATCCCAATTGGGTGGATCGATGCTCATGCGATAAATCACTGGATTGTCTGGTCCAGACTCGATTGTTTACAGACCGTTGTCATATTAGCTTGAATATTGCTGAGTGCAGCGTTAGACAACAAACAAACAAACAAACAACTTCATACCCCAAGGTGTGGATCATTGCTCTTGTTATCAACCACTAATTTTCCTGAAGCTGACCAGTAAACATTATAAAAAAAAGAGGCCACTGTGTTACGGCTTTTCAGCAAACACTCCAGTAGGGGATATCAACAAATAACTGACCAGCATATCAGTACCCATCTTCCCGAGGCAAGAGAGTTAACTGACTTTAAAAGTCCAGTTTCCACCCTTGCCCAACTATGCTGGAATTACTGGGTTTGATCGTAGCGCCACAAGTGGCTATTATCAGTTATGCCCCATCTAAGCCTCTCCTATGGACCAATCAGATTCCACCTCTCGTATCACGTACGTTTGCTTCACACAAAATGGTGGCGCCCGGTCAGGACGATCTGATCGAAAATCAAGATATATATTGTGATAAAACGTGTCTTACATTGCGAAATGCATTAAATCACGTGAGCACCTTGTTTAAAAACATGAAAAGATTTGGAAAATATCTGCTGACAACGAGTTGGCAGTGCACATGCTTTGCAAATCCTGCAATCGACCGAAATCTGCACGACAGTTAACGAACCGGATTTCTATTTTGGTTCGCGCTTTTGATTGGACTATGCATAGACTCGTTAGTCCAGCCAAAATGTAACTCCATAATACCAGCCTAGTTCAGCAAGGGTGGAAACTGGACTTTTATAGTCAGTTAACTCTCTTGCCTCGGGAAGATGATCAGTACCTCTCAGACAATGATAGGTATTTGCCATCGTTACTCATCATCCTCACTTACAGTGAAAACAACTCATTAAAAACATAGTCTCTTTGCAAATGGTGTGAACAGTAATTAAACAATAAGGTGGGAAACACCCTTTTCAGATACATGGCAAACTTCATAAGCAGATACTTTGGGCTCAGTTCCTTGATTTGCTACTTATCATGAGTCAACTGTATGTTAAAAGAATTAATTTCTAATTGTTGTAAATTGTTTTTGTTGGGCATCTTATTTGCAGCTTACTTTTAGTAATATGACCTGATTCATGGCGACATGGTTGATGCTGTAAATGTCACAATTGTTGAATTTGAAAAAGAATATTTGTAAATAGAGATTTTAACTGACTATTGGAGGCTTATGACTATAGGGCAACAGTGTATAAAATTCAAGTTGAGCTCAGTCCCAGAAATCCAGGGTCAAATTTTCTTGCCAAAAAATATAATTCCTTATCCTGTTGTCGTAAGCTTCAGGTCACCATGCTCAGGTCTCCAGGCTCAGGTCTCCAGGCTCAGGTCTCCAGGTTTCTTTCATTATTGGACAGCCTCTGTGGTCTAGTGGTAGAGCGTCCGCCCGGAGAGTGGAAGATTCCGGGTTCAATCCTGGCCGTGTCATACCAAAAGACGTTAAAAGATGGTACTTGTTACCCTGTCTGGCGCTCGGCATAAAGGGGCTCAAACAAGGACTGGTCGGCTCGGAGTCAGTATACTGTGTCTGAGTGGGGTAATCATGTTAAACTGCAGCATGGTATCTCAGTGAGCTAGCACTATAAATCGGCATCAGTCCGGACTAGTACGAGCAGCCACACACACACATGCATGCACGTCGTTATATAAGTGCAATAATCTTGGACGCGACGTTAAGCCCCATTTCACCTCACCTCTTGTCATTATTATTGTTAGTAGTCAGAAACTAGTTCCAACTCATAACAACTATATCAGCATGTTTTTGCCAAGGAAAGATGTCTCTTCCTTTAAAATCGACACAGGTTTTCCATTCATATAACCAACATTCAGATTTTGAGATGTATTTATAGCCCTTGCAAAATACTGTTCACACGTTTTGAATGACCTCGACCTGCACAGTAATGAGAAACCGTTTGAGTTTTTGTAAGGCTTAAGACTGTGGATTCCTTCTGCAGCCTCCAAAGGCATCAGGAGGCCATGGGGAGAAGCATGAGCTGGAGACAGGCAGTCCTACTGACCAGCTGGTGGACAGTGGACCGGACATTGAGTCCCTCATCGACCGGATGTTGACACTGACCCCCAACACTACCATGCCCCCTGAATTCACAGATGAGAAACCACCAGAGCTTCCCCCCAAAACTCGCCAACACGCTAACGGGGACCTACCCCACACAGAAAATGGCATGTCTCCCGTGTCGGAGGGGGCACCTCCTCCTGCTGTCCCCCCTCGGAGGAGGATCAAGAAGGATGCAGTAAGTTCATCTTGTGAATTATATTTCCATGAAAGCTGCGGGGAATCTTGGGGGGGGAACGGTCCCCTACAACCCATGCTAGTCATAAGAGTGAGTGAGTTGGGTTTAACGCCGCTTTTAACAATATTCCAGTTATATCGCGGCATGTCAGCTTAATGTGAGAGGAAAGCCCGAAGTGATGCAGGTCTCAGACGTTTACGACTTAGGTGAAACCCACGAGCACGGGTATGGTGCTGACAAACCTAGAAACATAATCGGGGCGAACCGGGATTCGAACCCACAATCATAGGTTTCTGGCGTGCCCAAGGGACGCAACTCTCCACAGCGAATTGTGGCGCCTTAGATGACTGGGTCACCCGTGCCCCCGCTAGTCATAAGAACTGTGGGTTGGGTTGTCAGTGAATGCCCTGGCTGGTTGTGTCATCATGCCCCGACAGCATGGATGGGTGGTCATGCTGTCAGCCACTGGTTTGCCTGGCCAAGACTTGTTATCTATAAGTCACTGTGATATAGCTGGAATACTGCTGACTGGTGATACAAGCATGTTGTTGTCAAACTTGCATCTATTTAACATTCTGTTTTAATGAAATAGTCAAGAGAAATTTCAAAATAATACTCTGTAACTTCAGGAAAATCAATGGGTTTTTTTTAGATAACTTCAAACTTTTAATCTATGAGAGGCTAGCTGAACATATTTTTATAATTATATGCTTCATTTGTTTCAGCAATCAGAATCAACAGATGTAAGTATTTTTTTAAGCTGTTACAGTTGATATAATCATAAAGTCAAGAAATACCATTGTCAGAAACATTTATTGTCATTTATGGATTAGAACATGGTGTTGCACTTTTGTGAGAAAAACAATTTGTTTTTTAGAGTACTCGCAGAATTATCATTATTTGTGGTTTTGTTTTCAGACACAATCTAGGCCAGTCAGCAATGGCCTTCCACCAACCCCCAAAGTTCATGTGAGTTTGAAGACTGTATAAATTAATGAAACCCCATTCTAGAGCCTGCTATCTTAAGGGTCAAAGAAAAACGATGAGATGGGAGAGGTTGTGTCTGTTATGAGAGCCTTTGTGACAAATGTGATATCATGGGTTGTCTCCCTTAGGTATTTGCCGTTTCATGGTTACCTCCCTTACACTGATTTTTCCCATTTTTACTTCCAATTCTCACTTTTTTCACATCAGTAGTTTGTTTCCTGGCTGTAGTACCTGTAACAGTGTTTTCTTTCCAAATAGTCAGCTCACCAGATTCTGGTACTTAGGCTAAAAAAATAATAGTCTTGGTTCTCAAGCACCGGCCGCATCATCATAAAGTCTGTCAACTTGTTTGATAGGCATTACTTAGAAGTTGGCGGATGACAAGATAGACACAATTTTATGGATAACAACTTCTTTAATACTGTAAAAAGCGACGTTTCGGTATAGATCCTTATACCGCTGTCAAGCAAGACTGAATGAGGGACATAGTGCAGAATATATATAGCAAGTTGAGGATTAACAGTAGAGGATTAACAGTAGAGGATTAACAGTAACAACAAGGGCATACATGAGTGGGATAACAACTTGCTATATATATTCTGCACTATGTCCCTCATTCACTCTTGCTTGACAACGGTATAAGGATCTATACCGAAACGTCACTTTTTACAGTATTAAAGAAGTTGTTATCCATAAAATTGTGTCTATCTTATAAAGTCTGTCGTTTTTATTTCCATTTTCAAAAAAAATTCTTTAACTATTCCACGCTTTGAACACATGACCCCGGCAGTAACATAATGGATTACAAACGTATACACAATGAACACTTTTATTGCCAGAATAGCGTAATGGCAGAAGTACCTTGCATACTTCAGTAAGGATTTGTTGACAAGCTTCTTCTGGTGTAGTGTGCTCAGGATAATGTCTCCCTATTGAGAAATAAAATCAAAGTTCATTGTATGGGTGAATTATGCACACACTGGTTGTCCAACGGTAGTCAAATACTATATTCCAGTATTTTACTCATCAAGGAATACATTCATGTAGGGAGGTCCTTTCCCAGGTTTATTTGAACTATTTTGAACAACAACAGCGACAAAAAAGGGAGAAAAAAGAAACCACCGCCCACCCGCACTATGTTTTCCAAAGCCATTCCTGAGAAGCAATTCTTTTCTTTTTTTAAGCCTGAGTGTTACAACATGTGAAAACTTAATTCCAAATGGCAAGCTGACAAATTGGTAGTTTTGTGTTTGTTGCGTGATGTGACACTGTACCTACCTCTTGTATCATTCCAGATGGGAGCGTGTTTCTCCAAGGTGTTCAATGGCTGTCCGCTCCAGATAAACTGTACAGCAAGCTGGGTGCATCCAGTCAACAGAGGTTAGTTATACTTGAACAGTTCAATTATACTTATAACATGTTTTGATACTTTTAGATGGCAATTTTGATCTAATGAACCAATATTCTTAAAGGACGTCCTATTTTCGGGTACTGGAGTAGAAGTCGAGTTTCACCCCTCGGGTACTCGAGTCCAAAAATTTGGACTCATGGAAGCCCTAACCCTAGGGCACATGTTTTTTATGAACCCTCGTAGGTAATAATTAGACTATTAGCCCTGAATTGAAAACTACTCCAGAGTCTGTTGACAGCTTTGAGTGATGGCCATGATAGGTTTGCACACAGATGTATGTCCTTCCTACTACATCAGAACATTTCTGAGAGAATCACAATAAAATTAGTTTGCAAGCATGCACACTTTTGTTACAAGTCTGTCATACAGACCCTCAAACAAGTATATCCAATACAGCCCATGCAAGTCTATAATGTTTGGCAAGTCTAGATTACTGCAGTATCATGAAAATGAAGAGTCTCTGGGCTCCTTTTTATTATATTTATATTAAGATAATTTAACAACTGTTTTTTTCTCTTCCTAATGTCAGATATGTTCATTTCAGAGACTAAATGTTTGTCTAAGGTCATTGCTGTCGCTGATGTTAAGTTTGTCATCATTGTTTATCTTAATCTGTATTTGTTTTTGAAATGTTTTTAATTAAAGGTGTTTATTTTTCCAGATCAGTACATTTTGATAGGTGCCAATGAAGGATTATATACACTGAATCTCAATGAGATTCATGAATCAACACTTGAATTGGTGAGTGTTCACACAGTTACTGTTTAAATCATGTTTGCATGCCATAAATCGCAAAGAACAATGAAGGACAAAGCGTGGTTTATTTCACGATAAAACAGTGGTCTATCATGACGTCATTTCTGGAGATTCGAATATGCACTCGCAACTTGATTACGTCATATTGGACGACGTTTTTGAGTGGGAAGTGTCCAATAAGTTGTTGCTCATAGATGTAGCTCGGCAACGCAGATAAACGCTGTGGCCGAAAGATTGCATCCAAAAACGGGAGAGATATGACAATCGGTTTAGGGAGAAAAGGTACAGGTAATTGACGTGAGGATTGTGAGAATATGTGGGAAATGCCCACCTGTGCATAAAATCGACTTGTCAGACATTGCCGAGGTCAGTTCTATTGAGGGAGTCATCCTTTTTTAAATACTATTTTTAAAGCGTGCACATTTTATCAGCATCCTTTAGGAGACTGTTTATAATGTTGATATCTTATACAGTAAACTACGTTTTTTATTAACTCAAGGGGACCACCAATTTTTGTCTTTTATAACCCTAGTTCGTTATAAGTATATATACAGCATTCATAGAGCGAAAGGGCGGTCAGGTAGCCGAGTGGTTAAAGCGTTCGCTCGTCACGCCGAAGACCCGGGTTGATTCCCGACATGGGTACAATGTGTGAAGCCCATTTCTGGTGACCCCCCGCCGTGTTATTGCTGGAACATTGCTAAAAGCGGCGTAAAATCAAACTCACTCACTCATAGAACAAAAGCCTGAGGCCAAACAAAACAGTTTGTTATATCCGCCAGTTTGTTATAAGCATGTTCGTTATAAACGTAGTTTACTGTATAAGAAATAAATATGCTACATGCTTTTATGATTACATAGAAGTGTCCCATTGGGGATGTGTACCATGCTTCAAGATATGTATCCTTGACACTATGATCCAGGGGCAGTCAGGTAGCCTAGTGGTTTAAGCGTTCGCTCGTCACGCCGAAGACCCGGGTTGATTCCCGACATGGGTACAATGTGTGAAGCCCATTTCTGGTGACCCCCCGCCGTGTTATTGCTGGAACATTGCTAAAAGCGGCGTAAAATCATACTCACTCACTCACTCACTCACTCACTCACTCACTCACTCACTCACTCACTCACTCACTCACTCACTCACTCACTCACTCACTTACTCACTCACTCTCACTATGATCCATCTTCCTTTCAGCTACAAGCAAGGCGATGTGTATGGCTGTATGTGATTAAGGATGTCCTCATGTCTATATCAGGTTAGTTACTCTGGCAGCTCTGCTACATAAGAAATAAATTTTTTAGTGAATACGGATATTTATATAGGGCTATTATTTGGTATGACAATTATAAAATACCATTTTCTAAATGTATATGCATGAGGTCAGAAGCTACTGACATGACTAATGTACAAGTCCCAGTTTATTTACTTGTGTTAGTTTTGTGAGTAGTCTTACCTTTGACGACAGGAGTACGCTTCCATTAGTCCATTACAAGACCAACTGACAAATTTCAACAGCAAAAAAAAAATTGAAATGAGTTTATACAAACTGAAATAATAAAAAAATATTTTTTTATCACCAATCTTTATAACAAATGGTGAATAATACATATAAAAACATATATTATAACAAAAAACAATCAATTATCTTGAGGTATCTTGCCATGTTAAAACATGTTTGATTTTCTTTCATTAGTCAAGAGAATGGCTTATGTCAACATGATAAGAGCTTATCAAACAGCTTATCAGATAATCCAAATAACGGGATTGGCAGTTTCTTTAGGACGCTTTTGAGGACAACGCATGTCTTAACACTGTTATGTCCGCTGTTATAAACCGCATACTTCCATTCATGTCTTTGACTAATATTTGTTCCAAGAAAAAGTATATGCCAATTTTTTTGTGCCTGACTTTTTTTCACTAACCAGAATGACCACCTGTTTAATAGGGGATAAATAAATAATCTGGAAGTGGATGAGTCTGTGAAGTGGAGTTAGGACCAGTGTTACCGTTTACCGGTAATTACCAGATTTTTACCTGTAAAATTAGGCTTGAACCGATATTTCATGTGACTGGCGGTCCCTGTGGACCTGCAAATAAAGTACCTTTGTTGTTAAAATCTTTGTTGTTGAACAAAACATCGGCAATATTAACATAAGTATGTTTTGAACGAAGTCGGCTTGTATCTTACCATCAGGGTTTCCCTTTGATTATTTTTATTTCAAGGAAATAACATTTCGCTTTGCTTCGATGTTAAATATATATTGGTAGCGGCTTAGTCTCGAAATATTTTTTAAAAAAGAAGAAAATTGTGACTGAACTCTGTGTAAACGAGATCTATTTACGTTATGTCAGAGAAGACGTCATTGCATTTAACATGACGTTGAAAAAATCAGGAACACTGAGGACAGACAGTTTAATGGTCGGGGGAGCCTGGGTTTGTTGTTGGAGATTGGATATTGTATCTGCTTCAAGATAAACAGTTTCTTCCTCTAATGCCCCCTTTTCACTAAAAGCATGAATATCCCGAATCACCCCGAATAGGAAACTTTCGAAATTTGTGATGATTTGGCCAATAATGCAAACTTTCGTGGCTAATCGGGTTGAAAAATATGAAGAATGCCAGGAATGGGTTAAGAAACATGTACGAATTACAAGATTCATGTACGGATCATGCACGAATTGTAAGAATCACCTACGACTAAGTTACGAATATGCCGAATGTTCTTACTTAATGCTTACATGATTCGTTGTTGACTCGGGACATTAGTGGCTGTTTCGGGATGTTTTCGGGTTGAGGACAAGAAATTTTGGGATCCACGAATCGCTAAGAATAGCCACGAATGCAAAAGAATCAATTACGAAGCTGTTACGGAACATGAGAATTAATTATGGATTAATTGAGAATGGATTATGCAATTCGAGGACCCTTCCTCGAAAGTTTTTGACAAACAAAACCTTTCTTGCTGATTCGAACTGTACGGATGTTTGGGAATCAAATAAGATTCATTTAAGAACTTCAAGAAATGATTGAGATTTATCTACGTATATGAAAAAGTTCCTATTCGGGTCAATTCAATGTGGTAATATTTGTGAAATGGGGGCATAAAAGGAGGGGCTTAAGACTTTTTGTTTCACTTCCCATCCAGCATGCCCCGTGAACAGTTATTATTTTTTGTGTAGACCTTCCCGCAGAAATATTAAGGGCAAAAAATTGCAGGCCCCCCTGCCCAAAATATGAAATGTGGGTCCTCCCTAATACAGTGATGCTCTGCCTGATGAAGCTCCTTTTGTACATCGGTAGATGATGTTGTCCACATGGTCAATAGATGTGCCGGTATTGTAGAAACACCTACGTCTTTGCATATCCCTCCCTCACCCATTCACCCAAGCTGCATGTAAACTTTATCATGGCATGCCCCTATAGTTGAGATCTCCGAGACCGTAACTTGTAGGAAGGTAAAACTTTGCATGTATAAGTTCAATAGTAGCCTTAATTGCTCACAGTTATTGATCTGATGTTGAAAATGATGAGGCTCATTACACATGCAAATGAACCTGAAACATTTACAAGCCTGAATAGTGATAACATATACCGTATTCGACGTAATAAGCGCCCAGGGCGCTCTCAAAATTCGAAATAGGGGGCTCTTATTAGAATATAATTTTGGTGAAAGGGTTGAAAGATCGTAAATTTCGTGGTATATGCTGACAGCCGTGGCGCTTATTAGAGCGTGGCGCTTATTACGTCGAATACGTACCTGTAACGGGACTAAATTCTACTAGCTGTCATGTTTCCAGGTAAGAATTGGTCCCCATTTACCTATGCTAAGAGGCGAGGAAATGGATCGGGTGATCAGGCTCAGGGACTTAGTTGATGGCTCACATTGCTCACGACATCAATCACTGGATTGTCTGGTCCAGACTACGTACAGACCGCCGTCATATAGCTGGAATATTGAGTGCAGGATTAAACAACAAAAATACAAATACGAGCCCTTAGAAAAGCTGTAACATTAGACAAATTGATTCTTGCTAGTGGGTTGGTGCCAATTTGCTTCCTCGCCATCCATTTATGCATGAATTTATGTGCACTTTGATATAAAGTATGCATGTGGTATGTGCAGATGTTAACCTTCGCAGGCTGTTTGTAGTCCAACACCGTTTCACCATCTATTTTATGATAAACTTTTTATATGGTATCTGTGAAACCAAGGAGTGTATTAGTTTTGTATGGATGATTATAACTGCATAGGTAGCATAAAGACAATGAGATCCAATTTCAAATATAGCATGGAGTCAGACAATTGCACACACACAATCTCATTCAATTCAGATCTCTTATTCCGATTCAGTGCTACTGTCTGAAAGATCAACCATTCAGTTTGGATGCCTCTGTATTCTCAGTACGAGCTAATGAAGCCTTCTCTACATCATATTTGATTTCCGTATCTCAAAAATTGATGTAAACAGGCAGTTCTGAATAGAAATAATAAGGGCCACACTATTTTTGGTGGATATTTTGTACACCCTGTTCTGAATGGGGGAGGTAAAGAAATGAAGCTGAATCATTTTAAAGGTGACAACTGATTGACTGAGAACCCTTGCAGCCTTTAATTTGATTGGTTGGTAAATGTACGCTCAGGGTTCTCTGAAGCAACCTCCTATCTTCGCATAGAGAGTAAAACATCTGATATGAATGAGAATGAACCAAAGTGAAAATGGTATATTTGCAATGACTTCAGCATGTTCGTATTTAAAGGGAGACTATCACGTGTTGCACTTTCTAATCTATATCTAGACATTGTACGTAGTACCAGGTATGAAACACATTGTTTCAGTGTTATTTGGGCTATCATGAAGTGTTAGATATATAGACATGATAAAAGTTTACTTAGCAGATATGGATAAATTTATGTTTGAATACTTGAATCACTTGTATATTATGTTTGTTATTTTCCCTCTTTTCATTGTGTTTTTTCTGTCTCTCAGTGTATTGGTAGTTATGCGACATTAAACAGATAATGGACAAACTACACTGGTGCACCTATGTATTGTGACAACCCTCATGATTATTATTATGATTATTATGCTTTGTTTCCAGGGAGAACGCCCCACCTGTACAGACATGATCTGATGATGCTCCATAGTAAACAGACAAGTAGATTTTCACTCAATATGACGAAAATTCCAGAAAAATTAGTACCAAGGTAGGCACTTCTTTTGCATAGTTTCTAAGCATCTTATCGTCTACGATAAATTAATCATTACATTTTCATCCAAATATTCAGAAAATCTGAGGCATTTTTATATATATGTTATAATACACTGTTCAAGACATCTGTGTACATGAAGCCTGAATGTTTAGTAAACTGTAGATTGTGTATTTCATCAAGTACGGAAAGAAGCTCACATATGTAGTGACTTTCTTTGTAGGTCCTTGGGGATAGCAAAATGATGTGTTTTGTAACGAGGGAGGATGTTTGGTAGTGAGGCAGGATGTTTGGTAGTGAGGCAGGATGTTTGGTAGTGAGGCAGGATGTTTGGTAGTGAGGCAGGATGTTTGGTAGTGAGGCAGGGTGGTTGTTTGGTAGTGAGGGAGGGTGTTTGGTAGTGAGGCAGGTTGTTTGGTAGTGAGGCAGGGTGTTTGGTAGTGAGGCAGGGTGTTTGGTAGTGAGGGAGGGTGTTTGGTGGTGAGGCAGGGTGTTTGGTAGTGAGGCAGGATGTCTGGTAGTGAGGCAGGGTGTTTGGTGGTGAGGCAGGGTGTTTGGTAGTGAGGCAGGGTGTTTGGTAGTGAGGGAGGGTGTTTGGTGGTGAGGCAGGGTGTTTGGTAGTGAGGGAGGGTGTTTGGTAGTGAGGGAGGGTGTTTGGTAGTGAGGCAGGGTGTTTGGTAGTGAGGCAGGGTGTTTGGTGGTGAGGCAGGGTGTTTGGTAGTGAGGCAGGGTGTTTGGTGGTGAGGCAGGGTGTTTGGTAGTGAGGCATGCAGGATGTTTGGTAGTACCGCAGGATGTTTAGTGGTGAGGGTGGATGTTTGGTAGTAAGGTAGGGTGTTTGTTTGGTAGTGAGGCAGAGTGTTTGGAAGTGAGGAAGGGTGTTCGGAAGTGAGGCAGGGTGTTTGGTAGTGAGGCAGGCAGGGATGAAAATCTGATAACCAATTTTTTTGTGGCAAGTTCTGATTAACATTTACATACTGTTTTCACCTGTACAGGAAGTTGCAGCCTACAGTAAAAGTGCCGGACACGCGAGGCTGTATGCGATGTTGTGTGGGACGCAACCCATACAACGGGTACCGCTACCTGTGTGGGGCGCTGCCCACAGGCGTGCACCTGATGCAGTGGTATGAGCCTCTCAACAAGTTCATGTTGCTGAAGGTGAGGAGGCTGGTTCAAGGAGCCGTACTATGTGATTTATCGTGGCCTTTTTATGTACGAGTCCTGGGGACTCTCTGTCTTTGGGGGGCCTCAGGCATGATGACGATGTTTGGAATTTTTATTGTATGTAACAAAATTAAGTGATTGCATGGACTGTAAAATGTTGTTTTGTTTTGATGATTCAAACAAACTACTTTAAGAGACATAAAGCCCTAAAAAAATTATGAATTTGGAAAATCCTTGATTTTGATAGATTTAAATCATAAAAAAACACCTCAGATTGAAACAGCTGAAAATATCATACCAAGTGTTTTTCTGCAGTACCAGTGTTGTGTACAAAGTTCACTTTCGAAGTTCGAACTTTAGTCAAAGGTTATAAGGTTATAATGGCATAAACAATTTGACTGTTCCAGACATTTGACATAGAGCAAATGCCTCCACGGCTGGATGTATTTGAGATGTTCATCAGTCCGGAACTGGAGTACCCTATGGTCTGCTTCGGGGTCAGGAAAGGGTAAGTTGAGCACTGGCTGTTTTGAGAGGGGAGTCCAGGCATTGATGTTGTCTTTAAAGGGGAGTCCAGCTCTTGCTGTAGTCTTGAGAGGGGAGTCCAGGCATTGATGTTGTCTTTAAAGGGGAGTCCAGCGCTTGCTGTTGTCTTGAGAGGGGAGTCCAGGCATTGATGTTGTCTTTAAAGGGGAGTCCAGCTCTTGCTGTAGTCTTGAGAGGGGAGTCCAGGCATTGATGTTGTCTTTAGAGGGGAGTCCAGCGCTTGCTGTTGTCTTGAGAGGGGAGTCCAGGCATTGATGTTGTCTTTAGAGGGGAGTCCAGCGCTTGCTGTTGTCTTGAGAGGGGAGTCCAGCTCTTGCTGATGTCTTAAGAGGGTGAAGTGTTTGGTGAAGGGACATGACAATCTGATAATTAGTTGGAAAAGACCTTACAGAAGTGTTTTGTTTTCCAGAACTGACAGGAATCATGTGAAATTTGATGTGATAAACCTCAACTCTGCATCCAGCTGGTTCACAGATCTGGATTTTACAGGTACAGTCCTTTGTCCTCTGTCCTCTGTCCTCGTCCTTTGTCCTCGTCCTCTGTCCTTCTGTGAGTGTAATAGGGCTGTGTTTCGGCCAAATACTTGTGTTGCAGTTTATAAGATAACTACACGATATATATATCACAAAGAACAACAAAAAAACGAAGCGTACTTCAAGATAAGGCATTGTTCTATCGTGACATCAATTCTAGAGATTTGAACATACACTCAACTTGATGACTTAAATTGGACCATGTTATTTTGAGAGGGAAGTGTCTAGCAAGTTATTCCCTATAAATGTAGCTGGGCAACGCAGATAAACGCAAAGACTGAATGATTACATCCTAAAGTGGGAGAGATCTGACTATTGGTATTGGGAGAAAAGGTACAAAAAGCACAGATAACTCCCGTGTTCATAAAATGGATTTGTCCGACATTGCCGATGTTGGAATGTGTTCAAGGAGTCAACATTATTTGAATAATGATTTAAATATTTTTAAAGCGTTAAAGTTTACACGCGCTTATTTACAGACCGCCGTCATACAAACAAACAAACAATATGCAAGACACAGAAAAGATATTACAATATGTATTTTTGAAAAGCATATTACAATTTGTTACATTTGACTCTGTTCCCTATTTCGTGAAACACATGTGCGCACTTGCCTACAGAGAACAGAACAGCTAAACTCTTCGAAGGATCTCTTTGTTCACCTTTCCCCATGTTTAAATAATTATACAGAATTCAAATTGTGCCTCATCAGTAGAATTGAAGTTGTCAGTAACTGGTGTAATGCAGGTTGTTTCAGAAGCTACATTTATATGCCCACGATGTGAACGATTATTCAGAAATTAATTTGGGCCAAATCAGCAGAATTTAATTTGTCAGTAGTTGTAGTTTCATAGGTTGTATCTGAAGTATATTTATATGCCCAAGATGTGAATGATTATTCAGAATTTAATTTTTGCCAAGTCAGCAGAATTTTGTCAGTAGTTGTAGTTTCATAGGTTGTACAGGTGGCCCAGTTGTCTAAGGCGCCGCGATTTGCTGTGCAGAGTTGCGTCCCTTGGGCACGCCAGAAACCTATGATTGTGGGTTCGAATCCTGGTTCGCCACGATTATGTTTCTAGGTTTGTCAGCACCATACCCTTGCTCATGGGTTTCACCGAAGGGGTAAATGTCTGAAACCTGCATCACTTCGGTCTTTCCTCCCACATTAAGCTGACACGCCGCGATATGACTGGAATACTGTTAAAAGCGGCGTTAAACCCAACTCACTCACTCACTCACTCACAGGTTGTATCAGAAGCTATATTTATATGCCCAAGATGTGAACGATTATTCAGAATTCAATTTGTGCCAAATCAGCAGAATTTAATTTGTCAGTACCGGTACTCGTAGTTTCATAGGTTAGCAGTTTTCATGGTAGTTACGTAGGTTGTATCAGAAGCTACATTAAATATACATAATGAGCAAGATTTGATGAACCCCCACTGTGAATTACACAAGCTATTAATATATAGTCACACATCTGTCTTATTGTATTTGTCCCATGACTGGGCTAGTACCGTTAAGTAACAGTTAATATTAACTACGGGTGGTAGCAGTCCTCAGCCCTGCATGTAATCCTCCGAGGCTTACGAAACCATGATCACAGTCATAAATATAAGACTGTAGGTAGTTGCATTAATTATTGACGATCTTTGTTGTGGCGAGTTATAAGCTATTCATGAAGCAGAGTGCAGTTGATTGTTTAAGACAGCTGGGGATCAATACAAGCTGGGACTGTAATTTCCTGTGGGGAACAAAACCTGTTTGGGTTATTAACTTAGTGGAGGACGGTAGTTTTATTTTCACTCATCCCAAGGGTTAAAGAGAGGCCGTAGTATGAATTTGTGAGCCCTTGTTGCTCTCAAGTCCTTTTGGAATTGTATAAATAAGTTTTGAATTTATGGTATTTTTTAACTGCCTCTCAGAGTTTAAGGGAGTATTTGTTGTGGCAGTGTTGGCACATTGTGAGTTGACATTGTTGTCAAAGTTAAGCAACCCGTGACGATTTGGGGTTGAATAGGTCTTCAGCAACCCATGCTTGCCGCAAAAGGCGACTATGCTTGTCAATAAAGGTGACTAACGTGATTGGGTGGTCAAGTTCGCTGACTTGGTTGATGCATGTCATCGATCTCAATTGCGTGGATCAATGCTCATGATGTCAATCACTGGATTGTCCGGTCTCGACTCGATTATTTTTCAGACCACCGTCATATAGCTGGAATATTGCTGAGTGCTGCGTTAAACAACAAACAAACAAACAAAGTTAAGCGTTAGGTCCGGGGCCTTTGTAATAAAGATTTAGGGGGCTCTAGATTCAAATATGTAGATGCAGACTTGGAGGAACCCAGGGACCCCTTACATTTATGAAACTCATTACTGATATGGAACTTAGTGTAGGATTGAACTAAGGCTGGGACAGGCAGCTTGGGTACTTGGTTCGGGTGGGCCATGAATAGGACCCGGGTACCCACAATGCTACTCGTACCCATTGTTGGTCATGTGATATATATTGTTTTGATGGGGGCGGTCGGGTAGCCTAGTGGTTAAAGAGTTCGCTCGTCACGCCGAAGACCCGGGTTCGATTCCCGACATGGGTACAATGTGTGAAGCCCATTTCTGGTGTCCCCCGCTGTGATATTGCTGGAATATTGCTAAAAGCGGCGTAAAAACCACACTCACTCACTCACTATTGTTTTGATGACAATAAGAGTAGGCCTAAAAACTCCATGGTTAAACTAAATGCTGCTAATGTCCGCATTTCTTTCTGCTTGTATTCCTTCTGACTTTTAATGTTTTCAGTGCATGTATGATCAGATATTTTTACACGTTTATCAAAATAGTTTTTGACAGGCCTCCGGTAAAACAATTCCTAATAGGACATTTTGCACCAAACTCATGAGACCCTCAGCAGATACCCGAGTAGTAAATTTACTCGTCCCAGCCCTAGATTGTACCTTTTTTTTAATTGATTGAGATCTAAAGATTTTTTAGTTGTAAGCAATATCTCTGTGATGCCAGATTTGTAATCGGTGACAAGTGTAGAAACTAACATCTTTAGTCCTCTAGTCCTTCTAATGATAACATATAGCAAAACCCTTAAAAATGGCAAATTTCAAATAGTCCTTAGGGTACCTTAACTATTGGGCAGTTTGGCAAGGACTACAGGACTAGTGCCAATTTCTAACGCTGAGTGAGGATTATGAATTCAGAAGTCAGCCAATCTCTTTTGATTATTATCACTGATCCACCTGCTCCAAAATGTTTACAATTGAGACGACGAAATGTAAAATAAACAACAACGTTGCTTAAAAATCATCCATTGTCTGTCATCTGTAAACTAGGGTGGTAGGGTGGCCTACTGGTTAAAGTGCTGACTCGTGTCCTTGACCCAGGTTGGATTACCCCCGTGGGTGTGGGTGTAGCATATTCTTGGTGTCTGCAATATTGAGAAAAATGCATACAACCCAACTCTCTCAAGTACTCATCTGAAATGTTGTGTTTTTTCCCAAAACTTCAAAACCAAAGGAGCGATGAAGCTAAAACTTCTCATGAGTTTCTCAAAATTCATCAAATTGTTTTTGGCAAAGCTAAGTTCTGCTGTTGTCCTGTATGTTACGTTAGAGCTGCAGAGCTTACAGCACTAGTTCTGTGAAGAAGTGTTAATGCAGTTCTCGGGAAGTAATTTCGTCAATATATATTTGTTAATTGTTATCTAAATGATGTGTGCTTTCATTAAGATGTCTTTCTTTCAGGAGAGGTGTTACCAGTTGTAAATGTGACACAAATGGAGAAAGACACGGTGTTGGTATGTTATGACAGTAAGTACACTATTCAAATTTTACAATAAAAAGCTGCTCAATTGTCTCTTGTTTAGGCTTGGTTTCTGGAAAACATATGAATTGGTGGTTAGTTTTGCTTGACAACAGTATAAGGATCTATACTAAAACGAGGGGCACGGTGGCCCAGTCGTCAAAGGCACTGCAATTCGCTCTGCAGAGTTGCGACCCTTGGCCATGCCAGAAACCTATGATTGTGGGTTTTCGAATCCCAGTTTATATGTTTCTATGTTTGTCAGCACCAGACCCATACTCGTGGGTTTCTCGAGTGGTAGATGTTTAAGACCTGTACCACTTCGGGCTTTCCTCCCACATTAAGCTGACACGCCTTGATTTAACTAGAATACTGTTAAAAGCAACGTTAAACACAACTCGATCACTCTACTAAACGTTGCTATGACAGTATATTAAAAAAGTTCTTCTCCATAAATTGTGTCTACTTTTGTCCTCCATCAGCTTCTAAGAAATGTGTATCAAACAATAATGTCCCATTAGTGTTTAGTAACATGAAAATATCTTATTATGAACAAGGGGCGATGAGGTAGCCTAGTAGCTAAAGCGTTCACCTGTTACGCTGTAGGCTCGGTTTTGATTCCCCACACGGGTACAATATGTGAAGCCCATTTCTGTTGTCCCCCGCTGTGATATTGCTGGAATATTGCTAAAAGCGGTGTAAACACATACTCTCTCACTCACTGTTATGAACAATGTGAAAGATCAGTAAAGAAACATGTCTCATGTTACTGTTTGTTTCATGAGATAACATCCATTTATTCTACATTCAGTAGATATAAGCATGGTAACATAGAACGATGTGGCCCTCTTATATTTCTACTAGCCTTTACCCGTAGGACCAGCAGTTTGTGTCCACACTGTTGACATTCTGGTTTTGTTGTGGCAGAGTATGTGAGAGCTGTCAACATGGTGGGGAAGCTGAGATCCAGTAAACGCCAGCAGTCCGAGCTCCACTTCGACTTCCCAGTAGAGTCTGTGGGTGAGTAGTCCGCCATTTGACTTGCTCAGTAGACTTTGTCAGAGATGCAAAACAATTTCGTGTGACAAAAATTACCAAGCTGTTCTTTCAAAAATAAAGAATGCTGGCAGTAAAATATGAAATCATTCAGTTGCACATTTCTGTTTATGTAGAAATGTACAAAGAACAAACATTTATACACCAAACATTATTCCATAGCATGATGTAAGATGTGCGAGATCTCAGTGGCGGAACTGGTAATGAACTCTGAATCAGTAATGAAATGTACCAGTTTTAAGTCCCAGGATCAAGAACTATTTCAAGAACAGTTGATTTAGGACAGGTTCAGAAGTCATTCTAGCCTGTGCCATCGGTGCATTCATTTTCAAATTGCACACATTGGAAGTATGGTGGATCATGATGGTACACTGTGTTTGAATTAATTCCAATCTAATAATGCAATGACAGATAAACTATAGTAATGTGAAAGGTGAGGTGAGGTGAAATGGGGCTCTCTGGGCGGAGGTTTTACCGCTAGACCACGGTGGCAGTCTAATATGAAAGAAATTAGCTTTTTTTAAGTATTATGTATGATAACTTCACCATTGCTAAAAACATCGTGTGTCAGGTTTCCATGATTGGTCTTTACCTTCTGAAACTTTAGACTACATTTAAGGATTGGGCGTTATTATTTTTCAGTTCATACAATATGATTGATATATTTTTAGAAACAATGAAGTTAGGAAAGCTGTAATTCCCAGTTGGCAGATGAATACATGGCAGGATTTACTCAAGGAACATTTTCTAACAGTGTTAGTAACTGTCAGTCAACCTGTTGAAGTTTTCTGTAGATGTACTGAGACACCTGTATTCTGTGGACGTACTGAGACATGACCTGTATTCTGTAGATGCACTGAGACATGATCTGTATTCTGTAGATGTACTGAGACATGACCTGTATTCTGTAGATGTACTGAGACATGACCTGTATTCTGTAGATGTACTGAGACATGACCTGTATTCTGTAGATGTACTGAGACATGACCTGTATTCTGTAGATGTACTGAGACATGACCTGTATTCTGTAGATGCACTGAGACACCTGTATTCTGTAGATGTACAGAGACATGACCTGTATTCTGTGGATGTACTGAGACATGACCTGTATTCTGTAGATGCACTGAGACACCTGTATTCTGTAGATGTACTGAGACATGACCTGTATTCTGTAGATGTACTGAGACATGACCTGTATTCTGTAGATGTACTGAGACATGACCTGTATTCTGTAGATGTACTGAGACATGACCTGTATTCTGTAGATGTACTGAGACATGACCTGTATTCTGTAGATGCACTGAGACACCTGTATTCTGTAGATGTACAGAGACATGACCTGTATTCTGTGGATGTACTGAGACATGACCTGTATTCTGTAGATGCACTGAGACACCTGTATTCTGTAGATGTACTGAGACATGACCTGTATTCTGTAGATGTACTGAGACATGATGACCTGTATTCTGTAGATGTACTGAGACATGACCTGTATTCTGTAGATGTATTGAGACATGACCTGTATTCTGTAGATGTACTGAGACATGACCTGTATTCTGTAGATGCACTGAGACATGACCTGTATTCTGTAGATGTACTGAGACATGACCTGTATTCTGTAGATGTATTGAGACATGACCTGTATTCTGTAGATGTACTGAGACATGACCTGTATTCTGTAGATGCACTGAGACATGACCTGTATTCTGTAGATGTACTGAGACATGACCTGTATTCTGTAGATGTACTGAGACATGACCTGTATTCTGTAGATGTACTGAGACATGACCTGTATTCTGTAGATGTACTGAGACATGACCTGTATTCTGTAGATGCACTGAGACATGACCTGTATTCTGTGGACGTACTGAGACATGACCTGTATTCTGTAGATGCACTGAGACACCTGTATTCTGTGGATGTACTGAGACATGACCTGTATTCTGTAGATGTACTGAGACATGACCTGTATTCTGTAGATGCACTGAGACATGACCTGTATTCTGTAGATGTACTGAGACATGACCTGTATTCTGTAGATGTACTGAGACATGACCTGTATTCTGTAGATGCACTGAGACATGACCTGTATTCTGTGGACGTACTGAGACATGACCTGTATTCTGTAGATGCACTGAGACACCTGTATTCTGTGGATGTACTGAGACATGACCTGTATTCTGTAGATGTATTGAGACAGGGCAACCTGTATTCTGTAGATGTATTGAGAAATGACCTGTATTCTGTAGATGTACTGAGACATGACCTGTATTCTGTAGATGTATTGAGACATGACCTGTATTCTGTAGATGTACTGAGACATGATCTGTATTCTGTAGATGTATTGAGACATGACCTGTATTCTGTAGATGTACTGAGACATGACCTGTATTCTGTAGATGTATTGAGACATGACCTGTATTCTGTAGATGTACTGAGACATGATCTGTATTCTGTAGATGTACTGAGACATGATCTGTATTCTGTAGATGTACTGAGACATGATCTGTATTCTGTAGATGTATTGAGACATGACCTGTATTCTGTAGATGTATTGAGACATGACCTGTATTCTGTAGATGTATTGAGACATGACCTGTATTCTGTAGATGTATTGAGACATGACCTGTATTCTGTAGATGTATTGAGACATGACCTGTATTCTGTAGATGTACTGAGACATGATCTGTATTCTGTAGATGTATTGAGACATGACCTGTATTCTGTAGATGTATTGAGACATGACCTGTAATCTGTAGATGTACTGAGACATGACCTGTATTCTGTGGATGTACTGAGACATGACCTGTATTCTGTAGATGTACTGAGACATGATCTGTATTCTGTAGATGTATTGAGACATGACCTGTATTCTGTAGATGTATTGAGACATGACCTGTATTCTGTAGATGTATTGAGACATGATCTGTATTCTATAGATGTATTGAGACAGTGCAACCTTTATTCTGTAGATGTACTAAGACATAACCTGTATTCTGAAGATGTATTGAGACATGATCTGTATTCTGTAGATGTATTGAGACAGGGCAACCTGTATTCTGTAGATGTATTGAGACATGACCTGTATTCTGTAGATGTATTGAGACATGACCTGTATTTTGTAGATGTATTGAGACATGATCTGTATTCTATAGATGTATTGAGACAGTGCAACTTTTATTCTGTAGATGTACTGAGACATAACCTGTATTCTGTAGATATATTGAGACATGATCTGTATTCTGTAGATGTATTGAGACATGACCTGTAATCTGTAGATATATTGAGACATGATCTGTATTCTGTAGATGTATTGAGACATGACCTGTAATCTGTAGATGCACTAAGACATGATCTGTATTCTGTAGATGTATTGAGACATGACCCGTATTCTGTAGATGCACTGAGACATGATCTGTATTCTGTAGATGTACTGAGACATGAGGACTTATATTTCTGTAGATGTATTGAGACATGACCTGTATTCTATAGATGTACTGAGACATGACCTGTATTCTGAGGATGTACTGAGACATGATGACCTGTATTCTGTAGATGTACTGAGACATGACCTGTATTCTGTGGACGTACTGAGACATGATGACCTGTATTCTGTAGATGTACTGAGACATGACCTGTATTCTGTAGATGTACTGAGACATGATGACCTGTATTCTGTGGACGTACTGAGACATGATGACCTGTATTCTGTAGATGTACTGAGACATGACCTGTATTCTGTAGATGTACTGAGACATGATGACCTGTATTCTGTAGATGTACTGAGACATGACCTGTATTCTGTAGATGTATTGAGACATGACCTGTATTCTATAGATGTACTGAGACATGACCTGTATTCTGTGGACGTACTGAGACATGATGACCTGTATTCTGTAGATGTACTGAGACATGACCCGTATTCTGTAGATGTACTGAGACATGATGACCTGTATTCTGTAGATGCACTGAGACATGACCTGTATTCTGTAGATGTATTGAGACATGACCTGTATTCTATAGATGTACTGAGACATGACCTGTATTCTGAAGATGTACTGAGACATGATGACCCGTATTCTGTAGATGCACTGAGACATGACCTGTATTCTGTAGATGCCCTGAGACATGACCCGTATTCTGTAGATGTACTGAGACATGATGACCTGTATTCTGTAGATGCACTGAGACATGACCTGTATTCTGTAGATGTACCGAGACATGATGACCTTTATTCTGTAGATGTACTGAGACATGACCTTTATTCTGTAGATGTACTGCAACATGACCTGTATTCTGTGGACGTACTGAGACATGATGACCTGTATTCTGTAGATGTACTGAGACATGACCTGTATTCTGTAGATGTACTGAGACATGATGACCTGTATTCTGTAGATGTACTGAGACATGACCTGTATTCTGTAGATGCACTGAGACATGACCTGTATTCTGTAGATGTATTGAGACATGACCCGTATTCTGTAGATGTACTGAGACATGATGACCTGTATTCTGAAGATGCACCGAGACATGACCTGTATTCTGTAGATGTATTGAGACATGATGACCTGTATTCTGTAGATGTACTGCAACATGACCTGTATTCTGTGGACGTACTGAGACATGACCTGTATTCTGTAGATGCACTGAGACATGACCTGTATTCTGTAGATGTACCGAGACATGATGACCTGTATTCTGTAGATGTACTGAGACATGTCCTGTATTCTGTAGATGTACTGAGACATGACCCGTATTCTGTAGATGCACTGAGACATGACCTGTATTCTGTAGATGTACCGAGACATGATGACCTGTATTCTGTAGATGTACTGAGACATGTCCTGTATTCTGTAGATGTATTGAGACATGACCCGTATTCTGTAGATGCACTGAGACATGATCTGTATTCTGTAGATGTACTGAGACATGAGGACTTATATTTCTGTTGATGTATCACA